CGTTTGCCGAAGAGAGTGCTGTTTTCCATGCCCAACTCAGAGTGGCGTAAACAGAGAAGTGGCCAACCCATGACCTGGCAGAGGAGTATGAAGGAGATCACGAAACGCTTGGGTGCAGTCGGTGCTACTCGCCTTCCAGGGTGGGAACCGCGTGATCCTCACTGTGCCTAGTTGGAGACACTACAAGATATGGTTTCCAACCGATGTCAGTGGCGTTCTTGTTGTCAGTTTCTATCCAGATTGTCTGAGTGAATGTCTGGAGGTGTAGACACCTCGGAATGATTGTGGTAAGCTAGCACTAAGTCCCTTCCCCGTCCACCTTTACTCTTTTCTTTACAATAAGGCTTTCAAATGAATCATGGTTGTACGGCAGTGAAGCATCAGTGTTGAACACTGATGTCATGCTGTCGATGATGATGATGATGATGATGAGTCGATGTGAAGAGGAGACCAAGGGTCGGTCGGTTGCAGCCATGACCATAGGTAGGTGTTCACGGGTGACTGATTCTTCACCACACCGCAGGCAAGGTTTGGAGACTTGCTCTGGGAGTTGATGATGATGATGATGAGTCGATGTGAAGAGGAGACCAAGGTTCGGTCGGTTGCAGCCATGACCATAGGTAGGTGTTCACGGGTGACTGATTCTTCACCACACCGCAGGCAAGGTTTGGAGACTTGCTCACTCTGGGAGTCCATCAAGGGCTATTAAACGTAACTCCGGGAAAGGACCTTCATGTTGTTTGTTCCCAATACACTTTTATATTTTGATAGCTTTTTCTGTCCATCATTCCAGATGTGGCTCCGTTTCTATACTGCGTATCTTCTCATAGGTGTTCTTCACGGAAACCAGATGACTGTTCGGCATCACAGCGATTCTTCGCCATTTTGAGTTCTTTCGAATCGTTCATTCGCCAAGCATTCAGAATGCAACCTTCGGTAAGCACGCTTTCGCTAACCCCTTAGTCGTAGTCAGTAAAACCACAGTCCAGACGGGCCCCCCAAGAAGATTGGGGCGGTTTTTTGGACGAGATCGCTCGGTTGAATCAATCTCCTCCTAATCAATCCTCTGTAACGAGTGATAATGCCAAAGAAGACTCTCCCTCAAGCAATTCCAAAGTTTCAGTCGATTCTAATCCCCCCTCCGAAGGAGAAAGCGTGATTCGTCCCATTCTTGGACGTGGTGACGGAGGTAACTGGTGTTGCTCATCTTTTCATCATCAGGAAAAAAAGCGGACTCCATCCCACTGAAAGATATTTTAAAATCTAAGTTGGTCGAGACCGATGAAATTGACATTGAAGTTCTGCGTTCTGATCCGAACAATCCTTTACATTCGGCCAAATCCTTTCAGGAGATGAACTTGTAGGTGTGCGTGGCATAGTTAACGTCTGTTAGAAAAGGACCACTTTTGCAAGGAATCTCAGCCATGGGTTTCTACAAACCGTCCGCCATTCAAGAGAAGGCCCTAACTAGTATAATTGGCGCAAAGTAAGTTTTGGACCTTATTCGTGAATGCCTCATCGTTTCTCGTCTGGTAAAGATTTTGCGTTGTTTGTTCTTATCCGAAAAGAAGTGGCCTGTTTTTGTCATTTTCAGACTGTTTGAACTACACCCAACGGTTAAAACATCCCACATCCTGCAGAAGAAACGAATGACCCTACTCGTCTTCTTGAGGTTTACTGGATTTAATTTAATTAAATAATTTATTTAATATTTTATTTCGAATTTTCAATTTAATTTAATTCACTGGCTTCACGACATAACTCCGGACTTTTTGTTGAAAAGTCGGTGAACTTGGCAGCGAAGGATGAAAGCCATTACCAGCAAACGCATTTGCGCTGGTCACTGCCGTCTTCCTGGATTGGGACCCCGAGACGGGCCACATCAATGTTTGGAGACATTGGCCCAGTCGCGCCCTCAATGGTGCTCGTGCATCCAAGCTATTGCCTTCAATGCATAGCTCCTTTTCCCCCCCCCACTGACAGTGCTGGATTTATGCACCAATTTATCAGCTCCCGCCTGCGCAGCTACCTACCCCCCAAATCATCGGTGAACGAAACTGCGTCAGATACGACGAGTACGTGGTTATTACAGCTGACAATGATGAATGAATGATGATGAGTCGGTGAACTCTCTACCCTGTATTGCATAACACTTCCATTAGGGGGCTTCAAGATGGCAACAGAAAGCCATACCAGGTAATAACAGAGAGTGACTCGTACAGCGGTCATTTGCCAAGCATGTTGTCGATTTTCTTGCCGCTTTCTGGCGTGTTTCACCCATAACCTATTTCCATCACGAGGAGTTGTGGTTGGCTCATGAATTATGTCCAGTCAAACAGTGTGAGAACCAGCCAGAAACAGCAACGGCGATTAAATTTTCCTCCAAGGTCTACTTTGACTTGGCATGGTGATTTTATGGCGGGTAAGAAGGGGACGGAACTGCTACAACTTCAGCCATGTACCGAACTAAGATTGACATAGCTAACAACATACGGTGATTCGAGCCAACTTTACGCGTTTACCTGCTGTCATCTAATAACTCATACTATTGCAGTGGCATTAAACTGCCACTCTTATAATCGACCTCCACGGCGAATGCATATCATATGAGTAATTTCTTGTTTCTGGAACTACAGTTATTTTCGAACTAATTTGACAGCCTCCCATCAAGAAAATAATGTTTCTTCGTAACTTTTTTGCAAAGCCCCCAGAATATGATTGCCCAGTCTCAGTCGGGCACCGGTAAAACAGCAACGTTCCTGATGGCGATGTTGTCACGTGTGAACCCCCAACACTCCTATTGCCAATGCTTGTGCATGGCGCCGACACGGGAGTTGGCTCTTCAAATCGTTCAAGTGGGACGCCGAATGGCCACCTTTATGGAGGGCGTGTCCTTTGGCGTTGCGGTGAGAGAAACGGAAGGTGAGTTTGTGTTAGAGCATGCTATCCCCTCTCGACTTGCATGGCAGTTAATCTTTGAAGGGGTGTCGCAACGAAACGTTTATATTTATCTAAACTAGATCGTGAAAACAATAACCAATACGACCTAGTTTGACTGTGCCGTTGTTTGAATCAGTGGCCTTTAAACCCTTGTATCCTCTCGCTATTGCATTTGTGCCCTCTGGATGCATCTAATTACGGCAGTGAAGCATCGGTGTTGAACACTGATGTCATGCTGTCGATGATGATGATGATGATGATGGTGGATGCATCTAGTCATTTATTTACTTTTTACCCAGTTCCATATTAATTGGTGAAGAAAACTTACAGAAAAAGTCACCTTCTTACCATAACATCAACCAGTACCTCTTTGGTCTCCTTTCCCTTGGTCGTACACAGTTCACTTGCCAACTTTATTCGCTATTACGCCACATTTCAGTGTCTGTTGGCGCCGATGGCTATGTCACCAATCAGATTGTTGTGGGCACTCCCGGTACAGTAGTACAATGGGCACGCTGTACTGGCTCCGTCCGTTTCGACCCGTCTCGGTTGCAAGTATTTGTGCTGGACGAGGCTGATTTGATGATGGAAGAAGAGGGCTTTTTGAACATTTCTCAGCGAATTAAGAGGTGAGACAATGTTACTTCTATCCTTCTTGTTTCCCATAAATTATATGGAGCTACTCACCCTCTAACCGTGTCGCCACGGGAAAAATGGTCATTTCAATTTCATCTTACTACTGGTTGATGGTTTAAGTAGTGCGAAAGTGTCGTTCTTTGATATGCTTGCGTCGGATGGAGGCACAGAGGGGCTCAGTCCATGACCTGATAACTAAGTATGAAGAACCTTACCGGTCAACTCAGTCGCGTTGGAAAATATCGTCTTTTCTGGTGGGGACCACGGGGCGAGACCAGTCACTGGTTTGCGAATCTGACAGATACGGCCGTGTCACGCGGCGAATGGCGGTCTTGCATGAAAGCAATTGCCTCTACTCCGTAGCTCTCAGTTCCTTTCGCACTGGACATACAGAACCAGTTGACGTCAATTAACGGATTGGGCCATTGCCAATGCGTGTCTCTCATTCCCTTATTCTCCTTATTTTCATTGAACGAAGCTGTAGCACCTGGAACTGCTGCATTTTGATGCACGGTTTGTGAGCTAAAAACTACTGAACTGAGTCGTGACTGTTTGTTTTCCAAAACGTCGAACAGTTTATATATGTGACAGGAAACCCTGAGCTAGTACCTGGTAGGCCATCATCTTCTTGGGTTTGGTTGTTCGTTAGATCATATCCACGAATGGTAATATCGTATTTTTGCAAACGCGGGTTGTTAAGACAATGTGTGGTGAGAACTGATAACTAGGCCCGATGCGGATGAGCAATACGTACGTGTGACAGCCTCGTTAATTCGCGGGTCCAACCACACTTCCCAGTGCAGTTGTCATTGGAATTCTTTTGTAAACTGCCACTGTGTATAGGGTCGTCTGTATCCAGCCCTCTTCAAAGAAGGCGGAAAATCCTTGGTAACCCACCTGACGAAGCTTATTGGTGCTACATGGGACGAAGAGAAAGTGCCTGCAGAATGGGGCATGTCGACAGTTATCCCTATCTTCAAAAAGGGTACACGTACGCTATGCGAAAACCACCGTGGCATCAGCCTGTTAGCTGTGGCATCGAAGGTGCTCTCTGGCCTTATCCTTCGAAGGTTGACTGAACACAGGGAGAGGCAGATCCGTGAAAACCAAGCTGGGTTCCGTCCTGCAAGAGGTTGCATCGACCATATCTTCACCCTCCGACAGATTCTGGAACAGCGACCCTACTTCCAGCAACCAACAATGGTTGTTTTTCTTGATCTGAAAGCTGCCTTTGACTCTGTGGAGCGCCAAGCACTATAGCAGTGTCTGTGGAGCAAAGGTGTCCCCCATAAATTCTTGACCCTCATTAAGGCGCTCTTCGTCATTGATACGATCATGGAAGACTCACTACCAGCGTCTAATGCTTTTTGGGGTCGAAGTGCTCCCTGGGCCTCCGCTCACAGACATCGAGTACGCAGATGACATAGCTCTTCTAGGATCTGACCCCGTGGCATTGCAAACAATACTAAATAATCTAAATATTTCTGCCTTGCGGTTATCTGTCAAGGGTCGGGTTTACAATGCTGCGGTGCGCTCCATATTACTATATGGATCACAAACCTGGCCGCTGCGCGCGGAGCACGTCAAAAGACTTTGTGTTTGACCATCGATGTCTTCGGAGCATTGCCCGAATCTGGTGGGAACACCGGATCAGCAATTCTGAAGTACGTCGAATGGTATTCGGGAGAAATAACTCACCCTCGATAGATGAACTGATCACACTCCACAGGTTGCGTTGGCTTGGCCACGTGTTGCGTATGCCAGTCGACCGACTTCCTCGAAGGGCTCTTTTCGCCCAACCATGTGAAGGGTGGAAGAGAGCCAGAGGTGGTCAAACAATGACTTGGCAGCGAAGTGTGAAAGCCATTACCAGCAAACTCAGCTGCGCTGGTCACTGCCGTCTTCCTGGATGGGGACCCCGAGACGGGCTACATCAATGGCTAGAGACATTATCAGACATGGCCCAGTCGCGCCCTCAATGGCGCTCATGCATCAAAGCTATTGCCTTCAATGCATAGCTTCTTATCCACCCCTGCTCTTGACAACCCACTGACAGTGCTGGATTTATGCACCAATTTACCAGCTCGTGCGTGCAATGCGCAGCTACCTATTCCTCCCCAATCATCGGTGAACGAAACTGTGGCAGCTACAACCTGTGTACGACGAGTACGCGGTTCTTACAGCTGACAATGATGGTGATGATGATGATGATGATGACATCTACTGGCATTCAGTGATTTTCGAATCCCTCGCGAATCAGATGGCGGGTTAGTCAGTGGGCGTGGCTCAGATTAACGCCGTCCTCCAGGTTTGCAATGGAAGCATGTGTGGTTCTTGGTTCGCAAGCACCTCAATTGCAGAGAGCATCCAGCATCACCAACCGTAGCAGGTCGCTACACACGTCTACTCATCATCTGCCTGGACGAATCTCATCGCCATGCCCCATTCAGACCAGCGCAAATTACGAATCTGACAATATGTGATCTTGCGAGATGATATATAAGAAACTACGAGTAGTTTGGGAGTTGTTGGGTCGGTCCACCTTCCAGGGTCTCCTGTGGTCGCCTGTGGACGTTGTAAGAATAATGGTCAGTCGACGTCAATGGTAAACGTGCTGTCACCTTCCTAAATAGTCTGCTTGAGTGTTCGGAAGAGTAGGCACATCAGAATGCTAGCGAAGACCAGTTACGGCTCCCTTGTCTGTCACAGTCCAACTGTTGTAACGATATTTCTAGCCCACCTCCTATGTACTGTAGAACTGTAAGTCTTTTTATGTGGTGCTTCCAAAATAACCTCTTGTTCCTCTTTCAGACGCTGGAGTACTACGTAATCTAAGAAGTTATGTGTCGCTTGTACTGCCGTTGTCTTTATATCCAACTTTCCATTCCGCTGGGCAGTAAATCGGCTAAGTACTCACGGATATCATACAAACTTGAAATAGGGACCCATCCGCGGAAAACCATTCCCTTGAGAACTCCAAATATTGCTCTCTCAGCTACGTTTAAGTGTTTGTTCGTTTCCAATGAAAACCAAGTACTTTCTCCTGTGGTTGTCTCTATCGGAATTTACTGCACAACCACTAATAGTTTGATACAGTACAAAGGTTTGTGGTCCGATTTTAACGCTGATTTGTCGTTTCCTCACGTCTAAGCCGACGCAGGTTTAGCACATCTCCGACCTCGTTCGTTGTATCATTCGCCCAGTAGTTACTCCCCGAAGATTCCTGACGCGCTTATCTTCGGTTTACTGTAGACCACGCCTCTACATTCACTCCCTGTTCACCTTTCAGAAAACTTTCTCCCAGTTGTCAGATTCTTCTCTTCTCTGCCACATACGGTGACGATGTCGTCGAGTTTGCCCGGGAGTTTGTACCAAATCCAATAGAGATCCGAGTGAAACGAACAGAGCTTTCACTCAAAAACATCAAGCAGTACTATCTTCTGTTTGACGACTGGACCGTGAAGTACCAGGCTTTGACGGAGATACATGCAGATTTCGGCGCTGGACAGGCCATCATCTTCTGCGCGGTAAGTAAATACGTATGTCACCCGCACGAGGAAAATAGTAACTTCTGCTTGCTCTCTGTATCTTGATTCACTTAGGCTCGGTAGGTGAATAGCGAGATTTGTGGCTTTCTAACTTCAAGGTAATACTTACCCCCAGAGCACGTCGTGCTCTGCGTAGTTCACTCTTCACTGCACGGTTTCGAAGCCCATATCTGATCTTCGTCACTTGTCATCTTAGTTGTTTTCGGTGCATCCTTACGGCACTTATCCATCAATCGATTGTTCCAGACTCGTCAGGAGGCCAGTTGGCTGCACGGACGAATGAACCTGGATGGGCATCGTGTGGTTATTTTATCGGGCGATTTAGAACTATTCGAACGGCAACGAGTGCTTGAACAATTCCGAAGTGCAGCCTATCGTGTTTTAATCACGACGAATTTGTGCTCGCGTGGTAAGTTATCTCTCGTTCGCAGAATGCCGCAACAAAATTTTTGGCCACTCTCCAAAAAGCTTGAATGGCAGAATGTTCATACTTTCGGTTATAGATCAAGTGGTTGTTGATCTGTTCGCCGAGCTTTCCAAGTTGATTATAAATATGTCTTCAAAGAATTTGCCAAGCCCTGCGATCAGATTGACAGCTGATCCATAGCCAAACAGTGCACTTGAGCAGCCAATATTTCGACCCATTGCTCAGACATACTCCCAGAAAGTTGCTGGTTTGTATCTATCTTATGATTCGTGAGGATCACATTGCTGATGGTCTCAAACAATGATGGAACAGCTGTGCGATACTACCAAGCTGTTGAAAACAGGTTGATTACCGTAGCAAAATAATACCCAGCTTTAAAACCCTTTAAACTTGATGGCTTTTCAGTATCTGGTCTCATTGTACGAAGGCTGAAATCCTGACAGGTTGTCTAGACTTGAATAAGAGTGATTGAGCTGCTGAATATGAACTTGGACCACTTCCCAGCCTTCTCGAACTTGGCACATGGGGCAGTCAAAATCCGCTGAGTTGGTTACTTGTCATATAGTCACCCCCTTGCATTTCTGTGGTAATCACTTACCGCTATCATGCCCCTAAAAGTTCCTAGTTCAGTTATGGTTTACTTGAAAGCCTCGCCCATCGTCCTGATTTTAGTTGCAGTCACGGTAGCTTATAAATCACTCGGAACATATACAAATCTCTCTATCTTATTGCTACTCCCGGCTATCTTGAGGCCATCCGATGCACACATTTGCCCTTCGTAACCCTTCCTCTTTTTCGTTATCAACAGGACTTGACATACCTCAAGTTAATCTGGTGATCAATTGGAACATGCCTGTTACTCGATCTGGCTCGGCCGATTGTGAGACATACTTGCACCGAATCGGTCGTTCCGGTCGCTTTGGTAAAGAAGGCATGGCTGTGAACTTCATCACAACTGAAGAGAAGCATCTCATCGGTGAACTGGAAGCGCACTTTCGTGAGTTCCCATCATTTTGTCTCACTTGACTGTCATTTAGCTCCGGTGAAATACCTAATTCGTAGATTAGCAACTTTTGCGCATTCGTTTAGAAAAACCGAAGGCAACGAAAGCAGTTCAGTTGTAACAAATCAAGTGTAACGGGGCAAATTAATCACGGGAATGCTCAAATATCTTTCACCGACTCCTATAGCTATATATTCCTATGTCTTTCTGATTCCAGGAACAACCCTATGAATTTACTTTCAAATACGCTGGATAAAATCCACATAGAGGAAGGCTGCTACCTAATCATTGACCATTTTTGAAAACGAAATTGGCCGAGTAAGATAGACAAAATGACTGTTCATGGCTGTTCCCCATAACTGGTGAGATTCGCTAGGGTCGTCGTCCTCGTTCGGTGTTATCGATGTTCCCATTGAATACACATTCCAAAATACGGGTGTCAATAGACTGGCGAAATTGGATTATGTGAATAACATCGTTTGTCGTTCGGCGTTCAGCCGTCCATATAACATGCGCGAACTAAGTTATGAAAAGTTGTCCCTTGTTTCGAAACGCATTTTCTGTCCGTGGGATCCCATGGGAACCTGAGTTTTTTCACTGACCCCCCTTTCATCCGCGTGTGCACTATCACGTATAAAGTCAATGTGTACGCTACCAAGGTATATACCAAATTGCGTAATATGTGGCGTCTAAAACACCTTCCACCAGATATCCTATGTGAAAACAACTTCAAGAGAACTCTTCGACAGCCCATAACAGGTTTCACCTTTTGTTGGGTCCAGCAGATAAACGCAGCCCCGAGTTTTCCTCAACATTATGTTCTACTTGGACCCAAATTGTACGAACTGCACTTATTTGCACACCAATTAGGTTTTAACGGGAGACGTAACTGAATCCTGGCTGAATCTCTCGCTTTTTGATATTCTTCCGCTGGGATTCAGTTGAACCTCCCATTAAAACCAAATGTTCAGCAACCTTATGAATAGTGTTCCTTTAGTAAAATATACTGTGGTGTTTCGAATACCGTACCAAATGAACCGCAGGGCAGCCTTTGTGTAGCACATTAAAGATGACCATAAACGAGAAATTCAGTTGAGACTTATTTTACTTTCCTCCTTAAACAAAACTTAAGTTCGTACAATTCGGGTTCGAATTAGACACAGTTGACAAAAAATTCGGGATCTGTGCCTATCTGTTGAGCCTAAAGAGAGGCAAATTCAGTCATTGGCTGTCGCAGAGTTGTTTCTTTCAACTTCCGAAGAAGTTTTACCTTATGCCAATGAGGCTTCGCCGCTGTATTTAAGAGTTCGAAGTTCTCCAAATTTCTACTCATGGATGTTTTTGTGGCACAGCAGGCGTCAACCGGTTGCAGCATGTTTACTAGTCAAGTGGCCCATAAACGAATGTTTGGTAGTGAGCCAGAATTTCTAGAACAGCAGATAAGGCTTGTCAGACTAGTTGAGTTGGGTGATGCACTACATGTGTCCGAACACCGTCTACAGCCTTCCACTTCAAAAGTTTGTCCGAGAAATGTTCGTGAATGACACTGACAGGGCAGCGGTAATTGAAAGCGACTACTGTTAAACTGAACGCACTTTCCTGGATAGGTTCCAGGTTCTTAGAAGGCCTGTAGGTCATTGCCCGTGATCGAGGGATACTGGGTGAGTCTCACCGATGAAGTCTTCTGTCATCCTTCTCCAGGGACACATTTTTTATGCACTGGACCCCTCCTTTTTCACTTTCATTGTTGTTTGGCATCTGAGAACCATTATTTAATGCTTGTATATTACCGCTGATGATTATTCCAGTCACTGAATATCATCGGTAGAGGTAAAATTATCTTGGTGCTTAACTTTGGGTCGTTTGGTTTAGTTTGCACCCACCTATAACTGTTTCGTTCTGACTGTCTATAGTCTAAGTAACTCATATTTTGTCCGCACTTTTCAGAAATTACAATACCCTTGTTGACCGATCAGGACCGTTCTCTGCTATGACCAAGATGCTACATAGTCACTGATCAAACGTATGAAGCACGTTTTAACTCTTTCTCCTGATTTCCTAATTTTCACTGCTTCCCTCTTCCCCTGTTGTTTGTAATAACATTATTTTAATAAATCCACCCAAGTGATTGGAAACTGTGTTCTTCGTGTTCAGCGTATTGGATTTTGCTTTTAGTGCATGTTTGTAACTGCTGGTCGTTTTCCATTCACCGTTGCGCGGCTGCCTGCCCTCACTATATCTTGAGTAACATGGCATTCAGCCTTTCACTTTACTGAGGTGCTATTCAGAGACTTTTTGGGAGATTCGTCGAGCAGGATTTTGGGACAGTGTGAAAGATAAATTAGCCAACTACTACCAAGACCTTTTGACTTCGAGTAGACGGATTTTGGCTGATAAACATGAGCATAGCCTTCCGGGTTCCTTTCTTCCGATCAGTGCTCTTGTTTTCCAACTGTACCAGTCCAACTGTGCCTTCCCCTGCTCTAGTGAACATCCTCTTTTCAACGAATTTGAGATTATGGAATATGGATAGGAATAAATCAGTCCCTCTTTATAACGGATGCTTGAAAAGCGCCAGTACTAGTCGACTTTTTGGGCCAAGGAAGTTCGGATTGGTAAAAAATCAACCAGAGATTGCTTCGGGGAAGTGTTTGGATATACAGCCCACCAAAAATCGATTTATTTTAATTCCCCATGTGGAGACTGCATTTTCCCATATCAGTAGTGTATTACGGCCTCTTTTTTTGCAACTGGCTTATGCGTACTTCCATATCTTGATTGGATGAACCAGTTTCCTGGGACTAAAAACGCGTTCTGTCGGTTTTATGTAAACGTCTATGTTCGAATGAAATAGGTGTCATGGACCTCTGCACCAACACCTTCAGGAACTCGATTCTATCCAAAATGAGAATTAGGTGTACACAACAATTCATCTCATCAATGAAATTCAGGGATAGTGTCTATATCCTAACCTTTTAGACACCGTACAACGGTAAAGAGGTAAAGATTACACATTGGCTACGGTGTCAGATTAGGTTATCAGCCCTCTATTCACGCACACCATTCCGTTGAGATACCGTCACCGCTGCGGCTAGTACGTCACTGAAATTCTGTCCAGCCGAGTCAATCATTTCGACGTTTTCAGTTGTTTCCCATTATCTTAGCTGACAGTACACGCCAGCTTTGGTAATGTCACTAGTGAAGCTATGTCATACTCAGCCTTGGTCACTCAATAAGTGCGTCCCACGACAAAATTGTGTCTACTCTGTTTTTTTTTTCAAGCACAACATTCCTAATTCAACCCCAGAATGTTGGGATTTAGCCAGAACACGTCTGTCCATCAAGGTAAATTGACCCAAATTTCTAGAAGAAAAACTGAAAGATGACTCTGTTAAAACCGCGTAACTACCCTGTGTTTCAACTACCCATTAGTTGTTGGTGGACCGAAGACAACCAGTTTTCGCGTAGAGGTTCATATACACCGAATTAGAAAACCCATTGGGACATCCAGAAGATCGAAGTACTTCCTTCAAGTAATGTTCGTCTGCTCATCCTTGCATTTGTTCCTGCCTAGTTGTTAACCTTTTTGTAGGGGAATAATTCATGACAGCATGATCAGGTAAAACCGTCCAGTTTATCAACCATTGTTTTTAGCTGAGATTCCGTACTATAGGTGCCTGAAAAGCCAAGAAACATTGTACAGCTGTTTCGTTCATATGGGGAACCACCAACAGTGTGCATCTCACGAAACGCCAGGAAATGCCTCACTCGCGATCTCCCGGCTAGTTGTTTGAACCTCAAACTGTTCGGCCACAAGCAGATGGCCAGCAGCACGATTAAGTCTTCCTTAGACAGTATATAGGACAGTATATCCCTCACTCACATAAACTACATCACGTGTTTACACATTGACTGGTTCCTCGGTGGGAGACAACGGGCTGAACGTCTTCCCCTAAGGTCAACGTATCGAAATACGCTACATCATGTTTCGATATCCGGGCATCAGCGTTCGTTCTTTTCTCTACTTAACGAGGTGCCCTGCTAAGCATGGACGGACTTGCGGCGCGATTTCTACGCTCCCACGCACGATGGACTCGCTGTTAACCGTAACGTCATGTGGATGGGTAACCGTAAGCAAAATCCATTCTTATGTTTCCAGTCACTGTATCAGCAGTCTTAGAGGTTGGAGAAACCTGTGAACGTATGGGCATTTCGGATGGGATCCGTATTTTCGGTCAGCAATCTCAGTCTTAACCGTTGAATAAGACTGACAGTGCACCTCTTCACAGCGGTGCCTGCTGATGATCTTCTGCCTCATTCGTCGGTACTTGAAATCTGCTGAACTTGAGTCCTTGTATCCGCCTTCTCTAGGATGACAGCACAACTCTATATCAAGTGTTCAAATAGAGCTTTTCCTCATTAATTGCAACCCGTAATATTCCTCGTGCCCTTTATGCTTCCATTATGTTACATTAAGGTTTCCCCAAACAGCAATCTGTCATCGTCTGCGTAAGATGCGAACTTACTGACCAGGCATCCGTGATTCGAATTCAACCCAAGTATCCCCGCTTCTCATGTCTAGGCACTGGCAACCTGGTAGTATATCAGCCCGCGTGCTTCTTTCGTTTGGCATGAGAGTTAGGTACCGAAAGCGTGCTTCAACTGAAGAATAATCGTCTGGTGATGTAGCGATATCCATCTTTGTGATGCATATTGCCGGTTATGCCGACTCCACACCTCTGTTTGTTCGTATCTATCTACCACAACTCGGTATTCGTGTGCACGGTTGATGGTTTTAGTGGATCCCGGGGTAGGCGACACTAGTCGGGAACGCCCGTCATAAAAATGGTAATCATCTCCCCTATAAGTAGTGGAATGATAGAAGGCGAATTACGTACAGCCTGCACAAATGTCTTGAAACTGTTATCGTTCTTCTGAACTCAGGGGTTATGTGCAATACGAACACGGTGTCATTTAAAAAAAACTATTAGACAATGTGATAATACTGTTTATCAATTGTGGTCATCCAACCTCTAAACTTCGCGCTTCTGCTTGGTGTAACGGATTAGTTCTTTTAAGAGGATAACCATGATGATTCGATTAATGGTAGTTTCTTTGCTTCTTATATCAATGCTAGTGGTTCCTCAGCATTAGCATCGACTTTTCGCTTCGTGTATACTACAGGAAACTGATCCGACGTTTGCTGGACAGTGCTACTTTTCTTATGATTGAAAGGCATCCGATATGGAGCACGTCTTCATCACCATCAACCAAGCTCGACCATAGCATTCTGGGACTGGTGGGTCACCAACTACTTGGGTAGGTAGAAACATAAGACAGAAGTAGACTGGCTGTGAAATTTGTATCATCAAATGAAACAACCGAGCCGGAGAATATACACTGATGCTTATCTGGTTAGAGCGCGAATTTACTCACCGGAAGGTCCGTGGTTCGAACCCGAACTCTGCCTCTCGATTTCCCCCGTCTAGGCTTGGGCAACCTGGCAGTATCCCAGCCCTCGTGCTTCCTTCGGGTGGCATGGCAGCTAGGCACCGGAAGGGTGTTATAGCTGAAGGATTTTTTTTTATCCGGAAAATACCGCCTTGATCTAGTCGAATGTAGTAGACTCTAGTGGGCTCCAGCGTTTTAAGATAACGGCTCCCGCAAATCTCACTTGACTATAATAATACGGTTTTCCCCTCATATGGGAACACTTTCTCAAGAACCACTTGTCGTCGCCCCCCCCCCAAAAAAAGCCAGCCCTCAGAAAAGATCACTTTCGATCCGTCTACCATAGCGGTAATTGTATTTTGATCCACTTTGCCCCAACTGGTATGTGAATTCCCAATAGCCCTTGCGCGTGATTCCTAATTAGCATCATATAAACTTAAAATTAGGGGAAACATGTTTTGTTCGCTACCGTTGTTTTTCGCAAAACTTTAAAGTAGTGGTAACATCCGTAGCTTTAGTGGATAATGACAGGCCAGACCATCCGCGACCATATTTGATTCCATGTAGCTCATTTGTCCTGATCTGAACGAAAAATCCCAACCGCATCTTCCAGATGTGTGTATAATCCGTCTCAAAAATTAAGCACCGTTTGAATTTTACAGGCCTCATTACGGAGCGCCAAACTGAGTGGGCTTACTGAATTCTTGGATAACCTCAACGTTATCGATGTCGGTTAACAACCACAGATTTGCTCCCACATAGTTTTCATGTTCGGCTACCACCGCACATAAGTCAAGTGATCGAATTCCGTATCTTTAAAAGCAAACTGTGCAATATTTTGTTAACTTTCGTAATCAACCTTGCGCTTCATTTTTTGTCCTCCCTAAGGCGGTCTTTTGCTGCGATGAAAACTACTGGAACAGTTGTGACAGCTGAGAATGATTAGGGGATCAAGCCTCAACTAGGTGAACCCACAGTGATCGAATTCGAAACAGTATGTAAAGAAGTTTCAAGATTTAACCTGAAAAACTTCCGTTCTTTTTTTTGAAGGTGCTGCGATATCGACAACACGGGATAGTTTGGTTGCTTAACGTTATAATTGGGCTGGGTTTCTTAATCTTCAATTTTATATAAACCCCCATTTCATGTCGAGCGCAGGATGTTAAGTTTTTAAGTCATACTCCTTATGATTTGGTTAACAATATGCGTAGGCTGTCATGCCTGGTGTCCAGATGCATTATTATTGGGTTTCGGATATGGCAATCACGCCCGTCGGTGGTGTTTTAGCCCCGTGTTTATGTGGGCATTTGTTTGCGTAAGTTATAGCGAGTGGGCAATCATAAATCATCGTCTGGCTGAACATTTCTGCGACGGTTCCACTCCAATATACTGGAATCTTCTGTGTGTAGTGCAATAAATATGCTAGAGCGTTGTGTCACGTTGATCTCAAAGGGGTCTTGATAGGTCGTGGTCTTCGTTTCTGGAGCAGCTGCGTCATATTTCGTGTCGTGTGATGCAACCTTCTGTCTTCTTGTTAACTATTCAATTCTAAATAAGCCTTACCCCTAGTAAAATGTCACTGCAACAAAGTCCCTGTGACATGTTTTTCTCCACTCTAAAGGGTTCCAGGTAGAAGGACAAGGCTGTGTTAATTCTCTAAATTTGTCTTCTACTCTCAACTTCACACCATCCGAGGTTGCTGTTTGCACGTTTGTAACCGAAATCGTACTTTTCCAGATGAAGTTGATGGAGGAGATTCCAGCCGATTTTTCCGCTCCAGTCATTTTGGAATTTAAAACCAAACCATATTTTAGGTCACCTCTACTTGCTTGCACCGCTGTTCTGTTTTTTCTATTGTGACCAGCTGTCAGCTGGCATTCTTCTAACATTGTTGTTCGAGCGCATCAGTGATTCTGAATAGGACGTATAAACAAGTGGTTTTAAGGACAGCCACTCTGAAAACAGCCAGTTCCTTTGATCGTAACGTCTGCGGTGCAGTTGGTCTTCCTGTAACGAGATAGTTCACCTAAGGTCGTGTGTGTCCGCGTTGCTACTTTTTTTAGAGTGGTTTTGGAATGGACAGAGGAATAACCGTAACTACGCTTAATTCGACGCTCACCCTTAGAAAAAAAGGCGAATGTAAGCAAAGTTGATAAACTGCCTCATTCGATCTTTGAATGAGACTTTTGCCGCATTACGAACTTAACTGGGAGTACCTGATTTGTCGCTGCATTCTTAACAACTATTCAACATGTTTTAGAATTTACACATTTTTATTCTAGGTCGTTTCCCTGCTGTTCACAGAATATACAGATAAGAGAAAACGAAACATATTTTTGAATGAAAAGCGAGATATCCATAGGAGTATGCAACCTACACGAGGAAAAGGAATATGAAAAAATAGCCACGTTACGATCCTGTTGAGTTGTGCTTTAGCCATTCCCCTATGAAACGTTTATACATCGTTCAGGTGTAGCACGTTTTCGGTGTCTAACTGCCATGCCACCCGATGGTTGCGCGAGAATTAGGATACTGCCCAAGCCTAGACAGGGGAAGTCGAGACGCATAGGTGGGGTTCGAACCACAGACCCGTGAATTCGAACTCTAACCATCACGTCGTTTCAATGCAGACAACAGACGCGTTCATTAGACTCTGGCAAAAGACTCAATCCATCACTAATTTGTGGGTTTTTTTAAGATATCAGGGAAATTCCTAGACTGCCATTTCATAATAATGATCCATAAAAAGCAATACTTGCATGAACGAGTGAGCTTATCGTGTGACAGTTTCTTGTGCTTGTAGCAAACTCTGCCTAAAACACCATCGTTTGTTGTCAATTTCGCTCCTCGGATCGAATTCTCGCTCGACATCATGTTTACCATGTTGCACCATACCTACGTATAAACCTATCCTAATTAATGCCACCTATCACGAAACTCTGCTCTAGTGTTTCCAATCATGTCTTGAAGTAGAACTAAATTCCGGAACTTGGACTTTATTTCTGATCAGGAACTATTATTCAAGGAAGGAAAGTCCTTTGCTGCCGGTTCATTTATTAGCAAACATGAACCAAGCTGTTACAAGCTATTAGGCACGAAAGTAAACATCCCATCTGTACAAAATTTTCGAAAAGTGAACATTCTCAAGCTTCCTGTTGAACTTTCCTGGACGTTCTTTGAACATTAAACAGTTATGAATGAGCGCTGCAAAGCTATTCTATATTTCCCATAGCAACGTCAACCGTCACATACGCGGGCTGAGCATGGAAACTGGACAATAGACTACTTGCACACACCATTGCACTATATACAAGTCGACACTGTCTAGAAAGTTGATTGGGCTGACTGAAGGACATCCCGCTATCGGCAAAAATATTTTACACGCTTACCTAGACTAGCCGATGACCTTCATATCTCACCCAGCCATCAAACGCTTCAAATTTTCCTGCAGTCTACGTTATGGCAGCCTATTGGTAATGTATCCTCAGCAGCAAATCAAAAATTGACGCTTTATTGGTTGTTGATCAGGTGGCAGTTAATCCGTTCGCTCTAGTTTGAATAAGCGACCCATTCAACAGCGCAATGACTATCTCCCACAGTATGATGACGAATTGTTCGCAAGCCACTTGGGATGCTCAACGAACAGATCAACCGTTACCTGACCAACATTCAGCGACACACCCGATTCAGCAATCTTTGGATTTATGGCCCCTAATGACTCACATTTGCTTTCGTTACTTCCGCACTCTGAGCGTCGAAGGTTTTTAAATAATTGTAGAACGACGTAGCGTATATATAGCTAATGGTAATTCTTCTTTAGCGGGAGTAAACCTATCCTTTGTGTCCCTTCTTAAAAAAGGCTGGTTTCACCGTTTTTCACTTGATGAAACTGAGGTTCACGAGTTACAGTCTCTCTTTCCTGGAATTTCCAAACATTCCTCATCCCTGTCCTTGCTACACACATACTTCACCCTCGAGTACGTAATCTTGTCCTCAATTAATTCCCAACTCCTCCACCTGGGACTCCAAGAACTTGAAGTAATCTGCGGAATGATAATCTGCTGGTCACAATTGCATACGGCGAAATGCCCCGGTGCTTCAGCATCATAACTTATTTTCGTGTAGGAGCAGAAAAAGATCGTTCATCTGTAGCACTGTCGGTGCCTAACTGCCATACCGACCTTATCTGCACCCGCAATTGAGGAATAACTCACACCTGGGAACGTGGACTGCTCCCCTCAATGCACCCATGTCGAGCAGGAATAGCGCATTCGTACGAGCCTGTGGCTCGACAGGTGTGCAGGTCCCATGACCTGGCCTAACCGCACGTCTTCAGGCCATCGCACGGCCTGGACACGGACTGACCCATCGTAGTAGATGTCTCTACTCTCAAATGTACTTCGTTATACCAATTCCGTCGACTTCCTGTCGACCTTGATGCACACACGGCGCCCGTACGATTGATACATAGCTAATTCACACAACGATTTCTACTCTATTTACGCGATAGTTACACGCTATACCAGTTTTGTTCTACCGATCCCATTCGATAACAGCCTGCTCGTCAGTCTGTTCAAACTTTTCACTGGTAAATTAGCGCAGCTGGGTGCGCAATTCGATCAACTGGAATGTTCGAGCTTGAAAAGAACGCGTGGATAATGGAAGTTTCAATGTACCTCTTGTCTGGCTTTTTTTAGTGAAAAGCAAGTATACCCGAATTGGGAATGATTCGTCTGTGCAACGATCCGCGGTAAACTTCCAATTACAGCAACAGACATCGAATGCGGGTTTTTTGACGACATGAAATCCAGAATTTTTTCCACTGTGTCCGAAATCTAGTTGTTCGTGTCTAGCCTTTGGTTTGTCGTATTCATTTCTCCAAATAGGTTATGAATATACTACCCTATCCAGTGGCCGAAAAGCGGAAATGCAATCTAACTCAATTTTAAGTGGGTAACTACATTGGCTGAATGAACCAGGAATGCTCTGCGGTTGCCACAAAATGTCTCTTAGCTATCCAAATCACTTGTTTAAGGTAACTTAGCCAGAAATGTGATCGATTGCTGTAATGTTTGCCTTTGCTAAAGTGGGTACTTAATCCATCTTTTTGCAAACAATGTGTGAAAAGCCTCACAACGTTTTCCAGTCACGCTGGTGTATGTCGTCTGCCATGTTCAAATGTCATAGACCTAACTGGTGACGAGATGGTATGCAGTTTAGTTGTGTTAGAGGGGCGCATTCTTCCATTTCTTTATACTTAACTTTACTACGGGTTGTAGTTCTGTTTCGTCGCTCTCCACATAAGTTACTCGTGGTTCACGAAGTTCTGCGGGCATGCGCCACTAACTTTGATGATTCAGTTAATTTCACTCTATGCGTTCAGTTCCGAACGTGATCTCACATGATTGTTCCTTGAACTTGTGCAGCTGAAAGCAATTAGTGATTCGGCCAGCGTTCCCAGAATCGCAATCTCACGTGAGCAAAAGAACCGGTGTCATTTATGTGCTTCGGCCTCCAGATGAGTGTAGACCTGAAAACAGTTAGACAAGTCATCGGATGAGAAACAAGTTTCGTACGAGTTTAAAGTGGTTTTTGACTATCGTTTCGACCATACTTCTAGTTTTTCTATCCCTAGTGATTGACTTCTTGACCACTTGTGTATACTTTAACCCCCTAGTCTCACGCGACATCCTTTTCCCTGCGCTTTCTCGCATCAGACTAAATATGTTACGTTTCACACACACTGTTTGTTTGCTCTTTCATCACATTAATCTTGTTTAGATTGGTGTAAACTGAGTTGGGTGACGATGCAGCCTTGCTTGGTGGTAATCAGCAACCTCTTCACACCCACAATCATTCCCAATAGTTCGACTTCCCATGAGTCTTTTTCTTGAACTGTGCTGTTCATCTACCGGTAGTGTATATACGCATTGTGACATTGATTTCCCACATATGGTTCGGTTTTCGTCACCATGAGACTTGTCAGTCGTAGCAATATCCACTATCTTAATTTGGTAACGGTTTGGGACTGTATTATGTTGGCAGTTGTTTCCGCTGATTTGGTGTGCTTGAAATCCTATTTATTTCTGCCTATGCACTTACCGGTTTGCCTGTTGTACAAGTCTGCCTAACACACTGTTTCAGCATTTGCTTGGTGGTTAGGTTTTACCGTTAACAGTCCCACCTGACGGTTTCTCATCATAAGTCACTAGTTTCTTTCCCTTTTGGTCTCGCAAAGTTAAGGGAGAGGATGGCTTGTTGGTGGTTAAATCTACCGTAAACACCGAGTTTGAGAACACGACTTGCAGACAGTGGGAAGAACATTATTCGTGGCCTTTGTATCTGTTAGCAACTCCCTCAGCTCTACCATTCGTCGTGCAGTTGCCTTTCTATTACGTCTGTTGTCTTCTTTAGCCTCCGTTCCAACAACCGTAATTTAGGTTATTCATTTTTCTTGAGTGATGACTAGCTTTGAATCTATAAAGCCAGCCGTCTCCTTCCAATGCGCTATGAACTACTCTTTATTCGCTCACTTGACTACTCCCCACTCTGATCGCCGAATCAAATTCAACGGAGAGCTGTCATTTTTTCGCACATTCGTTTAACAGCTGACTTTCGCTTGACACTGTTCATCCCTCCCGGCAGTCACCGCACCACCCATTCTTATTTCCTCAGATGGAAAATTTGTAGGTATTCCTTTTGTTTTACTTTATCTTCTCTATGGCTCAGTGGTTAGAGCTCGAATTTACTGACCATAAAGTCCGTGGTTCGAACCCGACCTCCACTTCTCGACTCCTGTCTAGGCTTGGGCAACCTGGCAGTATCCCAGCCCTCATGCTCCTTTCAGGTGGCACGACAGCTAGGTACCGAAAGGGTGTTCTAGCTGAGTGGGGTTGGTAAAGGAATCTTTGTTATTATTCTCGGTTCTTCCTTGCAAGTTTCCCGAAGGTCGTCTGTCCAGACCACTTTCGTTTATGCTTCCTTTATTTCTGTGATTCTTGTTTATTCGACTTTCGATGCGTTAGCTCATTCAGTTTGACCATTACTCACCAGCTTCTCTTATTCTACTTCATGGTCGTTGGCTTGTTTGCTGAGCTGGGCAATTTGTTTGCAAACGTTTCATCACCAATCGAGGTGACATCATCAGTGCATTATTGAAGAGCATAGTGGTGCGTAGCGTTGGATTGGTGGTTGTGCGTTGAGTAGTGTTACGTATGTGTTAAAATACGTGCTGCTAGCCGGAGATGACCTTTGATCACTTCATTGATCTACTTCATTCCATCTCACTATAATGATCGTACACCAAACACCATTACTCGCCTTACGAAGCGGTTAGGTTCGAAGATTTCCTGTATTCATGATAATCAAGTTTGCTCCAGCTTCCAAATATTTTATTTTATTCAATATTCTCATACTCTCGGTCCTGGCTGTTAATTCTGAATTTGCTAACTGCAAAAGAACGTGTCATGATTGCCAGCTGGATGACTATAGTGATACTCTAGCACTGTTGTGGAATGTAGGTAGCTCGGGCGAGCTGCTTGGTTGTTGGTCTGTTCGTCGAGCTTGGCAGTTGGATTGCAAACGTTTCATCACCAATCAAGGTAACATCGTCAGTGCAGGGTTGAGTAGGTGAATTCCTCCTCTTCTGCCTATGATTACATAGCTTCTAAACAGGATAGTGATACTCTATCCGTCCGTTGTCCTGATAAATCGAAAAGGAATGAGCGTGACGCAACGAAGATATTTTTCAGTGACCACATAACCCCAAACTTCTTTATTTCATCCGCGATATTCTTCTACTGAGGTAAAAAGGACCTCACATGGACATGTGGAAGGAAGTTGTCTTTTCAGAAGAGGAGGAAATCCGAATCTGACCTGAAACAGGATTCCTTTCTCTCTGAATATGTTATCTTGATTCGGTATCACTGGGACATAATGAACTTCTCACTAGCATTCTCAGTGCCAACATTAGTAGCTTGTAGTTTCCCCTAAGTACGCACGCTCGTTTGCCAGTGTATCAGTCACACCATCCGTTTTCTGGGGTTAGCTCTCTTAGACACCTCAATTGCATAGGTTTTTTTTACTCATTTACATTACTCATTCCGTTACAATTTGAAGATATGGTGTTCCTAAAATATTCAAAGCTCATAAACAAAACCTGTCAGCTTTTTTCTTCTCGATCGCTCCCTTGGAATTCTGTATTCCTTCTCCAGGAGTTTCCGAAACCACCGGACTGGATCAGGCTCATAGAGCTCAGTTTGCTAGTAGGTAGATAGTATACCTCCAGTTCTCTCAGGTCCGTCAACACATTTACAGCCACAACATGCGAGTTTCACAGTCATCAGTGATCGGGGAGAGGGCAGATGACTTGTCGACACAAAAATAGAATGCTGTGGAGTGATGACTATGGCTGCATTCATTCATTGGTCAACTCTGTATCCTCTCCTTTGTTGCAGGGCAGGTGATAGTCGATTACTTTGCTCCTGCTGTACTCCATACGGTTGAGTTGGTTTCGCTAAATCGCGGTCGCGTTCAAAAGAACAATGAGTCTTATACGTCGTGTACATCATTTGCAATTCGCATGCCAAAATCTCTGGAATATGTGTCGTGCGTTTAGCAATGGATTGGGCTTCAAAATCCACAGTTTCATGAGGCATGAAAATCGATACAGTGTGGCTCTGGGAAATGGCAGCTGCATGTTATTGCTCAACCAGACTACCGGACCACCGATTCACTGGCGAATACAACCGTCAGAACTCTCTCAAAAATTGACTGATAGCTATGCGCATCGTCAAATGCCGTTCGACATCGCCCTGGAGGTTCAAGATGTATCTGACGTGTGTACTCGAGTTCGTCATATGAAAGGTACCGACTGGGTGCTTGTGGAACCGCTTGTTTGTTCCGACAACCATGGTAGAATCACCATGGCCGTTATTAAGTCATGTATTAAAAATTTGTTTCATACCCTATTGGATACATCACAATATGATGGCCCATTGCTTCCCGGTTTCACGCTGCCCGAAGTTGATGTGGCACCGGAGATCGCGCAAGAAGTGCAACAGTATACCGTACACCCTGACTGTCCCTCACCTGTATTTGGGCACCTGGATCACATTGCTTTGGCCTGTAATACGGGCGAGTCAGACCCTATCATTCAATGGTACAAAGAGGTGTTTGGTATGAAACGTGTGGCGGCTAATATGTAAGTTGCTCCTGTCATTGTTTTTACCTCCCCCTCTCCCCTGTTTATCGTCTGACTTCAGTTTGGATGACCCCAACGATGGTTTTCTCGTTGAGTATGGCCATACTGGGATGAAACTAAAGGCTGCTAGTTACACCGAAACACTGACAGATGCCTGCACGTTTGTGTTGGTTGAACCGCTTGAAGGATCCGGTAATTAGCGGTTTTTGTTCCTCTATGTTGCCCTCTAATGCAGATTTGTTTATCAGATAATCGAACAACATCCAAAAATTCGTTATTTTTCTCACTGTAGTTCTGTGGACGTTGACTGTAATTAGACTAAGTGGGTGAGCTATTTAGTCCGTTCACAAAACCTCATCATCATCGTTGACGGCAAAACACCAGTAATACATACTGATGCTCAAAACGGTTTTCTCTAATCCAGGAATCTCGGTCCTCCCAGGGTTGTGTTCACATGCTTTTGTGAATGACTCATGTGGTGTTGACATTCCCCCGGATCGCGCGTCACAGTAAAACTGAAGAATCTATTCAAGTCCCGCTCTCCTGGAGATCTACATGTGCCTTTGCACTTATTCTGATCCACGGTACCGAAATTCTGCGTTCCGTTTGGACGTCACTGTTCAACAGAAATTGGGACTTAAACTAAGATTTGCCCACACTCTATTTTCTTTCAGTAGTGAAAACCACGCGTATGAAGGGAACCATTGTGTTTGAGAGCTATCTCAAGTCGGCTAGTGTGGCTAGCGGGACACCCTTACTGTATGCAGAGGTTGTCAACATGAATCATTCTGGAAAGAGTTCTTCAGGGAAGGATACAACTTTATGCAACACCGACATAATATCACTTTTAACTACAGCGACACTGAGACAACCCGTTATGTAACAATCTCTTAGTGTTTTCATAGGAGTTCCCTACTGTGTTACTTCTTGTTAGATGATAACCTTCAATAAAAGGGAGTGGAATGCAAGCATATTGACATTCTACTCTGTTCTACTTGGTCCGCTACAATCACTGTTTATGGGTCTTTATCGATCACGCAGGTATGGGTCTCCCTTCTTCGTTTTGAGCCCACCTGTTTTTTTATCCACCTAGTTTTGCTTCAGTAACCTGTACATCTAATATTTTCACCACTCCACAGCCCCGAATCAGGTTACGCGGTTTCTGGACGCCAACGGTGGTCCAGGAATACAACACATTGGCTTCGCTGTCGATGACATCTTCACAGCCGTCGATTCTTGTAAAGCCAGAGGCACTTCTTTCGTCACTCCACCGCAATCGTACTATGATGCGGTAAGCATGAGTGAATGCGGGTAACACTGGACCGAGCACATCGGTGATTTTTGCCGAGCTCTAATCTTGAGTGAAAGTATCTACTAAGACCATTGCATGCGTCCCAATGAATTCTCGTTACTTCGGTCCGTAATATTACCGACAAGTTCTGGTGTGAATAACTTAGCCATAGCATTAGACCAGCTGTGGTAAAATTCAGCCGTAAGTGCTGTGGAAATTAATCCACCTAGCCACCCTAAACTTCCTATGTGGAATTTTCTTGAACCCTGAACATCCGGTGGTTCTCGAGGCTGGCCGCACCTCCATCACAGTCTGTATGCCTAACGGCCTATTCGCACATTGCTAACCAGGCGGCCGTTGTCGCACACACCGTTTTGTTCTTACTCATAAGGCTCGTAAGCAAAATACCGATCAGTTTGCTATATTGTGTAGATGTGTTCTGATTTGAACGGTTGGAGACTCACGATTGACTTGGTTGCAAAGGCCACTCTATGCAGTGTGATCTGATTGCATCTATTTCCCATAAAATGCCGTTAGGATCTTCTGGGACCGCACGACAGTAACTTCCGTTAGATTGCTTAAAATGTACGCTTGTTGGTGTAGAACCCTCTAGAATGAATGAGCATATAAACTTTGATATGTTTGTCCTTACTGGTCGAAAACGTTTGACTAATGGTCTTCGCGGAGCGTCCTTAAAGCGTACTCATGTCATTGAATATCCAGTCGAAATATTTTTCAACGGCGCTTCAGAACCATACAACTCTCTGTTCAGTGCATGTTACAGTGGTTTCTGAAACCGGGAAACGGACTAGCAAAGGAGTTTATCCACCTTGTTCCATTCACTGATTGGGGCTCTGGAGATCAGTCGTAACCTGATGTCCGATGTCCACCGTTAAGGGCTTCTTACGACTTGTGTTTGTCGCTCCAAACAGGATGAGGTGGAACTATGTGCCCACGTTGCTGTTCTGTGTGTGAACTGACGACATAGGCGGGGCCGGATTAACTGATTACCATGGCTGCCATCAACAAACACAATGGTGTAGACGTGCCGGGGAAATACAGCGTTTCCGGTGCAGCTGGTCTGTGGGGTTTTTACTGGCATGAAGACCTGAGTTTGGAGTAAAGGATGGTTCACGATTAACATTATCAGAAGGGGATTTCTAGTGATAATTTCATTACCCATTCCAGCTGCAATGAGAGAGAAAGAACCCATAGTCAGGGAACCTTCGTGAAAAGTGATAACAAGCAGCACACAGCCATCCACAAAGTAGTATAAATCCCAAATTGGATTGAGGTGAACGTTAATAACTTGGCTTATGAATAATTAGAGGTTATATGAGTTTAGAAATTGCTGTGATTCCCAGACAGAGGATGTTCTTAGAAAAAGGACGAGGAAAATAGATTAGTTCTACAACGTGTGATGGTAACTTGCCGGGGGGAAGGGTGAATGACTTAATAAAGGCGTAATATCTGGCTGGAAGAAATAAGCAAAAGGACAGTGGGAGCAACATGTGATGGGCATTCCCCATGTTAACTATGGTAGAATAAGGAAGTGTCTTCAGGTTATCAGTCAGTAAGAGGTACCGATGAGACGTACAATTTTACATTGAGTGTACTCAACTAGGGGTAAGCAAGAAAGAGCCAGAGGATATTCATAGTTGAAGTTCATCGCTATTCTCAGATGGATAAACACTGCAGAACTATTTGTTACATCGGGCGATAGTTAGATAGCCAACAGAGGTGAATATCGTAGCACAAGTTCCTAGGATAGGAACCTGAGAAACCGATGAGGAACAAAATGTACAGATGTGAACCCCACAGTTGTTCACTGTTAACTTGCCCCGGCCGAACCCTTGTCCATTAATCCACGCCAGCCTACACTATTTTTACTAAGATTTGTGTTCAAACACCTAGGCTTCGTTGGCCAAACCGTTGACCACTTCCAACAGTTTGTCTAAAACCAACCCTTCTGGATTCCCATCCACACATCTAATGTAGATTTTTTTGTACGTTTTTCATCTAAGATTTCTCGGTATTATTAGTGAAATCTCGATAAAATTATTCAGATGACTCATCATGACTCAGTATTTTTATCAATTGAAATGTGTGCACACACTGCTGTAAACTATAGTATCTTGGAAATACATTGGTCTCGTATCTACTCATCTTTATATTTCTATTAAAACGCCTCAATATTTCTATCTGACCGCCTAACGAATCAGGCGAAGGCATTCTACGAAGAATATCATGTTTTTCTAAGCTGAAAGACGTGACACTTTCAAGTTTTTCCCCTTAGCTTATCCTCTCGAATCTGCCGGACGATGATCCAGATGTGCAGAACAGAAATATCTAAGAGTCATGCTTAGTTCAGTGAGCTTGGTGTGGTCGGTACTGATAGGACCTGGCTTTCAGTCTCGATTACACCGTCTCTGACATGCTTTCTCGGCCAGCGGATTTCTATATCTTCTTCACTTTCGCCACTTTCTCCGTATCCGTAAACCCTGATAGTCGTATATTTGTTGACCATGTGTCTTCTAATCGCATATGTCTCATGCAAATATATCTAATTTCTATGGATATCCCTGGACTGCCATAACAAAAGAGTCAACTTTCCGCATTTCAGATATCCCAAATACCAGCCTTCGCCCGCTGTCCCGTCAACATAAAGCAGCTTCGTCAATCTGGCGTTCTCCTAGATCCAGATATTTCCCCCGATCAGTCGGGAAGCGAAGACCCAGTGTAAGCACACTATACATTAATTTATAACATCAGTTGTTCCGGTTAGGAATATGTGTTGATCCCGATGGTAGGAATGCATGATCTGATTGGTGTGTCACACACACAGGTAGCAGTATTCATCGAATCTTCCTATCACGCTTGGCCTATCAAAAGATCCTGGCGGACACGTCCAAGATATCGCTGTTCTTTTTCTCCAGCTGTTACACTTTGCAGCTCCTCAACGTCGGTCACACGAAATCCACTCTTCTCGATCTTGCTCAAATCGTGATAGATGGTGATATCGTACACAATCTTGAGACATCTTCATTCTCACTTGGATGAATTTCTCTGTGGAAGTTTTGTCCATCTTACCGGTGATCCCTTCGCTTTCCAGACTTTGCTGTCAGTTGAAAAAGTTTCACCTCCTTCATACTCTACAGTCATAACGCAGATACAATCCCTGGTAAATAAATAGGCTAATGTCGGCCTCTTGCGGCTGTTCAACATGACCCCTGTTCGGTTTAGAGTACGTAATAAGATATGGCAACAACCACTCCATCACAGCTTCGTCATGGTGCCATTTGGGGTGATTAACCGAACAATTTGCTAGTGTCAAACCAAATTCGAAAGTAGACGCCCAACGAGTTGGCCGGAACGTTGAGACCTGAGCTAGATCCATATTAATATGCTGATGTATCGTCAACTTTTACTATTTAGTGCGCAAAAATTGGTGTATATTAGCCAAAGTATGGCATCAAACCACGCAGTTTCCATACAGGCTCTCAAAGGTTTGTGACAGATGTCTTCGACTCAGCAATCGCCTCGAGAGAATCTCGGATCAAAATTGGTGTATATTAGCCAAAGTATGGCGTCAAACCACCCAGTTTCCATACAGGCTTTCAAAGGTTTGTGACAGATGTCTGCGACTCAGCACTCGCCTCGGGAGAATCTCGGATTCATGATGCAGAGTTAGGTCAGGTAGTTTTTGCAAAATGAATTAGTAGGGAAGGCCAGCCATCCGACATGCTATTTACATCGAAGGACTATGAAGTTTCGCTGATGACGTGACGTTGACAAATCAATCCATCGAGGTGGAAGCACCGTCACGTTGCTAGCTGCTGTCTGTTTGATAAGAGAGAGTTATCAATGCGTAGCTGCTACATCCTTAGTCGAACGCCAGTTCATTGACAGCTGCTCCATCGCATTTGTGCGGGCTGTTTGTTTTTGCCGGTGAATTTGGAACTCAACAAGACGTCTTCGAATATTAAAGAATGCAATGTACAGGTCAGGTTTTCGATGCTTGAGTTCCACACAATCATACACTCATTTAAACGTCTGGTGACCGATTCGTAGAGTTGGATCAACTATTACGTAGGCTCATAGCATGGTCGAGACGCTCCTTCCGAAACTTAATTTATCCTATTCCCCGGTTTCTCGCAACAGGATGCTTCTACAGATCTTTACTATGCCCCTATTCGAACGTGATGCATTCTTTGTGGAGCTTATTCAACGATGTGGTGGTGCTTCGGGCTTCGGTGCCGGGAATATCCTGGCACTCTGGAAGGCTTTGGAAGATTCAATCGCCTCTGGTGATCAGCAACAACAGAATCCAGGGTGATCGAGCACATAGCGCCGTCCCTTCGTCACCTGTACGCCACTTTCACTTCCCGTCCCCTCGGTGATCTTATCAAGACTATTTACAATTTCCTCCTCTTTTTTCACATACCTACTCATATAAATACATGCGGACTATTCTATGGATACTTGGCGGTTCTTGTATTCTTTGTTTGAAGGGGGAAGACCGCTTTTTGGCACGCACAGTTAAGTATTCCTTTGTTTGAAAACCCAGTTGGAATTTGTGGCTTTTAAAATCCTGCTACAGGAAACGTGTTGATACAATTATGAATAGAATTCGTCATGCAGCGTGAAGTTAAACACTGTAGAGGCTGCTTAGCAATATGCTTGTTCCAGGCTTTGACTTGAATTCTAATGGACAACTCTTGTTGCGGTTTGTGAACAGGTTTTACTAAGCTGCATGTGGTCGGTCGAACTAACTGGTCAGTTGACTCCTCGTGGCTCTTTCAACGCTGTGGCTTTCTGATATGATGCGAAGGAACAAGTCCAAAGTTTCTAACATACCCTGGTGTCCTACAGTGATGATCATCTTTAGCTGTGATCCACATTTTAACTAATTTGACTTCCATCAGTTGTCGTCTTAACTAGTTCCTCGACTTTTGAAATCGCATCTACCGATTGTTAGGACACGTTTGAGCGCCGTTAGTCGCCACTTATGCAGAGAATGTTGCACATGTAGAAACAACAAAAGTACTCAGAGGTTATTTAGGTCGTCTGTGAACAATCTCCAGACCACTGTCTCCGCCTCCTTCAGACTTACGGCAGCTGACGTCCATTTTGGGATAACTGTCAGCTTTGGATGACGGAAGAAGTCGTCTACTGATGTCTGAAACAACAGGCCTCATGCCTCGCAGTGAAACGCGATGTTAGGTAGAGGGTTGAGTAAATCTCTTGAATTTATTCTCATATTCAGGCGCTATAAATCGCTAACCATACTCATCTATACCGTCAAACCAGCTTAAGTAACCTGTCCCAGTATAGAAAGGCTCATGCGAATTCGCTCTGACATTCGTTCGCAAAATTCGTATCGAAATTAATCTCACCTGCCCTATTGTTACCAAGTTTTAACTGTCTGCTGCACTGTCCCTTTTATGGATGACTGAACTCTAACTAACTTGGCTTACTGCTTTTGTGCATGTGGATGCAAGAATGACTAAAGACCGAACAGTCAGTCTGCAGTCCTTCAGTCACGCAAAACAAATGAATCGTTAGATGTTGAGAAAAGCTGAACCGAACCCACTACCTGTCACGTATACATGTATGCGTTTTCCAAGGATGGAACGCTTGGGATTAATTGTGGAGATGTTGCCTTTTCCAATAAACCTTGGCTACCAGTACGATAAATATCGGTAAAGATGTGCTCAATGCTGGCTTCCTCTACGGAACTTTGAGCAGCAGGCATGGATGTGTGGCACTGTTGTTGTGTGGAAGACTTTCGAATGAATTCGAACATCTTCATGGATCTTAGACGAGTCGTAAAGCGATGAACGTGTATGCTCTCAGTTCGTTCCGTAAAACTAAGGATAAATTGGGTCTATCTCAACAGTTCATCAGAGCCGACCAAGTCCATTAGCTTCGGATAGCCGATACTGAGCAAATGGAACGTTTCATGAGGTTTCTTAATCAATAAGGTCATAAGGTGGTTATATCAGCTGCAGGACCACGTTTTTTCACAGACAATGGTTCCCAGTTCCGTATTCATTGTACTACAAGTTGGTTCCTATCGATGAAGCGGTTTTAGTTGCTGGACATGAGAAGCACCGTCATTCTCCCTAGATTTTACCAGTCACGGTTGGCAGTGACGCAAGTGGACAAGGTCTTGTCACTCCCCCTATGAGTTATACCAGAACACTGGATTGGTTAGTCAGTTTCCCAGGATAGCACTCGCGAACCGTAGTCGATTCGGTTCCCATACTCTCAGTCAATATATTCGTGACCACATTGCCAGATGGGGTCGTCCTGATGAATATGTGTTTTCGACCTCACTCAAAATTATTCCAACTAAACTTTCACCTGAGGTGTAGCGCAATTTGATGTCGGTCATCACACAGGTGATAATCATCACTGAAAATATTTTGTCTACAGCAGTCCTCGTTCAATCAATAACTCATCGTTATAATTGGCACAAGTATTGGAAGGTGTTCCATCTTTTTACTGTGGTGATTCGACGAGGGTGAACCAGGGACTTTGTCAATATGGCGGGGGTAATCCCACTACCCTATCGATCTTCTAAATCTATCGTACAGAACTTCGAACAAGGTGGTAAAATTTCATCCTCCAGTCACGTTGGTTCCCGTAAATTTTTCCTAGGCCATCAAAGAGAGGGAAAGGCTTTGTTTCATAACGTTCGCTGTTGTGGTGTGTGTATCGAACTGATCGATCCATCGATTGAACTGTCTGTGTTGCACCTTACCATTCGGGCGTGGTCTCCAAGGTAGATTTAGGCCACCAATCACCTCCAGTGTGTCTGTGATGAACGCTAATCACGCTCGCCTGGCGTGCATCCAACTTCGACCATCTGGGCAATTCTGTCTGCGCCTACACACACGCATGCACATCTAGACATGCATGTGTCAACGAATGCTTGCATGTGCCCCTAAATTTCTGGTACTACATGTTCCCTGGAATGTTAGTTTTCCTATCTGGTTCGGGTCCTGACGGCAGCCTTTATTTGCCTCCAAACACTGAACTATCCAATTTCGAATCCGCTCGCTTGGAACCATGCCATCTGAAATTTGTCCCAAATGCCAGAAAGCTGTCTATGCGGCTGAGAAGAAGATTGCTGGAGGAAAGGCATGGCACAGCATGTGCCTGAAATGTGGTAAGTTCATGGAAAGTTTCCGTCGGCAGAATAAACCCTGACTTAAGAGGTTGTGTCACTCGAGTAGAACCGATTCCACAGTTTTATAAAAAGGGATTTCCTCAGAATCACCGAAAGCCTTAGGTTAATATCGTGACAGTATTCTGGAGTTATAAGTCGGACAGCGAAAGCGAGATGCCACATTTTCTAAATTTCGTAAAAACAACAACTTTGGCCGATATTCGTAAGTGACATTCACTCGTAAAATAAATAAGTTATCCTATACTCGAGCAAACACCTCTGCCGATGAGACACTTTTAAAAAGTATGGAATTTTGCAGATCTCTTGGGAGCCAAAGCTTTGTCAAGCGCAGCCAAATTCCTGTTGGCCCTTATGAGGAAACGCTAGATCGGAAATGTTTGACCTAGGTTCTTTAGCTGAGTATCGTCTCGAGGGAATGATGTGTTAGTCCGCCACGCTAGTGTAGTCTTTTCGAGTGGACTGGGCTGGAGTTAACTAAAAATTATGAACACAGTCATTCAATGGAACATTTCACTTTCGAAGTAATGATTGTGGATGATGTGAACATAAGAGGTGTACATAAGATTTCCGGAGTGCCTGATAGTCACCGTTATTTTGTTGTCGTGTGATAATGTGTTTCCCTGACAGCTTAACATATCATGTGGTTCCTATCCAGGTCCTAGCAACTTGGTCCTAGTGACCTAGTTAACTGAGGTTGACTTGATTGCACCATTGTGTGTGTGTGTGTGTGTGAATTACGGGTATTCATGAGCGTTGAGTCTTTGGGGCATCCGTTTCGCACAAAATGAAAACTTCTATGATGCCCCCATAAAAAGGAAGCCCACTTAAGAAGGAAATCTGCTAAATCCATTGCTGTGCACGCGGTTCAGATTTGGAATCCTCGGAGAGGGATGTGCTGTATAACACCTAACTGATGACCCTAGTTAAGCGCGTTTCGTCAGATCAACTGTAATCTGCAGAAGATGGATTGAGTATGATACTAATCACTTATGAACTGCTAAAGATAACCGTTCTCAGGCAAGATATCTTTGTGCTTTGAAGGATGGATTGAAATGACCCGACCAATACAACAAAGAAGTGGCCCCGGAAATCGAGAACTGTTTGGTTCTCATTGTGTGTCCATTTTTTGGGAAGAGGGGGAGATAGACGGGTTCATTGGTTTTCAACCTTGATCGAAAATACCGGTGGCTCGTTTTCCGGAACGACGAGTTCAAAACATGGCCACTTGTTTTACACTTAGTGGCTAGAGATATTCATTCCCCGCAACCTATTGAAGCGAGTATCAGTTTAACTGTATGGCTAATTTTTCGAACGCATCCTATGGGGGATTTTCTCGTCCATTTCACTGAATTGTGGAACAGTGATCAGACTCGTCACTCTTCATGTTCCTTCCCCCTTAGTCCACACTGGGACCGTTTGATATCAAACGCGCCAGGTTGTATATCCTGTCCAAACCGTTCAGGTTTTTCATTTGAAACAACGCGACTTCACACTCATCATGCCAGACAGTCATGGAAGGAGATCGATGAACTCAACAGCGTGTAAGACCCACTCGGGCTTGAGTGAGCTGAGTGACGAAAGACGAGAATCCTATCTCAGGGGCAGCATGAAGGCTTCTTGTGTGAGCGCGTGGTGATCCCTCAGTTGATGTCGACTCCAGGCAAATTACATGCGACTGTACTAAAATGGTTTCAGTTGTAGCTCTACTAGAGGGCTTTCTATATGGGCTACTATATTTGGTAGTCTTCAGCCTAATGTGCGGCATCATTCGATGAATAGGATGTAAGCTGGACTCGGAATATGTAAGCTCCACGTGTACCCTGCGTGCTAGAACAAAATGGTCTTTGTTTATGACCTCTTCTATTTTGTTTTTAAACATAATGGCTCTCCATCCGAATGTTCTTTCACTCAAATTAACCCGCTTATACGACAACAAACGTGTCGCACGTGTTCGGGGCCAAAGCAGAGAGATTTACGTTGTTCTTGCTTCTTCCAACTGCTTCCAGGATCAACGCCATTGCTTTCAACGTGCAGCTGTCTTACTCCTAGCAGAATCAGATAAACGGAACAATCTAACATCGACAATTGACGAGGCCGTCGTTTCCAGCACGTGAATTTCATTTCCCAATTCCCCCTATCCCTGATAATGGGAGATGAAGCGGGTGGGACCATTACAGTTTGAGACAGGGCATAAAGCAGAAAACCCAACTGAATGAGTTTCAAGTGGTAGATGGGTTTTTCACCCCGTCCGGATAAATGTCCGGGTTGCATTGCTCTTGTGACTGAGACCTAATGATTCAACATCCGTCGAATCATTACGAACACTTTTTTGTAGGGATGAAAAAATAAAGTCATGCGCTATTACAAACTTGTCCTCCAATCTCACAACAAATCCGATAGCAATTGTTGGGCACTCGAAAACAAGTTGAGATACCAAGTATGGCTTCATCCTATGGTTCAGTTCAATCACATTCAATCCAAACTGCATTGAAGCTCCGAAATAACTGCTTTGTGTTTAGCCTAAGCTATGTTTTCGGACACTGCCAGCTCAAGCTGATATGGCACGATTATTTGTCAGCATCGTTTACGGTACCAAAAGTTTCACGTGACAATCTGCTGGCAAGCCCAGACCAATGATACAGGATGTGTCCAATGCGGTTTTTGAGAGTAGATCGGAGAACTAGTGTGGACAACAAGTCAGCCCATATGATTGAAGAGGAAGACGTTTCCCCTATTCTTAGATGTAAGGTCGGCGGTAGTTTAGGGACAGCTCTTACCTGATGAACAATAAGAAGGCCGAAACCGGTCGTGGGCTGTTGAAGAGCTTCCAGCAACCTTATGAGTGATGTGCTACGTCTGCAGTATTCTGTTTTTTCTTCCACCAACAGAGATTTTTTATCAAACTCGTGCAGCACTCCACCGATTTATCCTAGCCCACACAAACTTTCACACATAATCGCCTACTTATAGCGCTACTAGAAATATAATGACACAACAGGCCAGGTCATAGCAGGAACCTTGTGTATTTATCGAACGGTCACAGTCCAACGTCATCTATGTATCCGCCTCTGATATACATGCATATACTTGTCCTTTCGAGTTTTTAATTTCACATCCCTCCGAGTAGAGAATCGTTCTAGAAGGACAGATTTTTTCCGGTTCCGAACGGTCTGATGGACAAAATGTCATACCCCCGAAACGGACATGGAAATTTTGACAAGTCTGATCATACTGCACCTGATTAGGAACTACCTATTCCCAAAAACAGAGAAAAGTGAAAGCTATATGACGGTAGGTGATGCAATAAACGCGTCAACTGGGTATGCAGGTGCTCGGAGGCATTCCATATTCACTACTTATAAGTATGGTTCAAACAGTGGAGAAAATAATGTGATGTGCGTACAATAAAACGACCGACTTTTTATAAAGTAAAACGGCTGGTTTAGGAGCCATTTCATTTACACATGGATTTCAGGATTGAGCCGATTCCTTTAGACGTGGTTTTTACCTCGAAAGGGGGAACATTTCAGCGGAATTCCACGGGTGGTCTCCTCTGGGGACCTTGCTGATATTTTTATTTGATAAAATGGTTGCAAAAATCACATTAACCATGTTGCGGTATTGCTCACATATTTGTACTCTACCGAGACGTGGACAGCTGACCAGCTTCACATCCGGACTCTTGACAGAGTTCATTTTTAAAGTTTACTGAATGTTGAGCGCACAGATTGGTCCGACAACACTCCAGTTCTTCAGGGAGGATTACTGAAACTCAAACACTTTCATTCACACTAAGTTGCCTACGACCTTGAAGCCTGTTTCCAGATTATTGGTCCTTTATCAGTCAAAGAATGTTCTAAGGCCTAAACTACAATACAGGGCTTTAAGATGAGTTAAAGAAACGTTAACTTTGTTTTTTAATGATAGGGAAATCAGTCGCCGAAAACGGACACCCTATGAAGGGCAGAATAAGAGAGCAACTCACTTCGAGGGTGAAAAAGACCTGCTCCTGCGAATGCACCCATCCTCAAATGAACAGCTGGATAGAGTTAAGGGCTGGTGTTGATAAACATCTTTCTTCTCGACAGCAGCCTTTAGGATATGTCGATTTTTTGTTAATAAAGCGCCCCCACTAGTATAACTTCTCGAGGAAATTTCCTTTTCAAGCGATGTCGGAAGCATGTATATTCTTAGTTTCGGAGAATAAGGCGTGCACTAGTTCTATCTTGCAAATCAAAGTTGAATTTGATGTACTGCTCAGTAGATGTTCACATTCGGTGAATTGTTTGCTTCATGGAGCCGCGTAAATATTACGTGAATAGTCCGTCCAAAAAACAAAGCTGACGTCTGGTTTGCCCTGATTGGACACGTAAAGGTCGGCATTTGCATTACTGTAAAACTGGGTAAAAAAAAGTAACCAAAAACGTTATAAGTAGAAAGTCAGAATACCGTCAGCTTAACGTTCATAAGAAGCTGAAAGTGATTTTTTCAGAGGGGTTTGGTAAACAAACGGTGGATTGTTTACCAAACCCCTCTGAAACGATGACTTCCCAATCGGTACCAAACATTTTCCAATTGACTGAAAGTGGTTTATTTTTATACTGCTATCTTCAGTTCCAGCCGGAATTTCAGCTACATTTGGGCTATTCAGAACAACTTCACAGGTCAACCAAACCAAAGCTTCAGGGTCTAATGGCAGCATTCAAGCGATTCTGCGTTCACAATTACCCATGGCCTTCCGAAATCTCCATACACGTCCCATGCTTAGAGTAACGAAAAAGTATTTCAATGGAAGCGGCATTTCAAGAAGGAGAGGGACTTCGAACTGGATGAACCTACTTTGAAGTAATTTATGTTCCTCAGAGTTGAAGGTTTAGAGAATAAGGATGTAAAGTATGATGTAAAGATTTCATTTTGTTAGTGAAGCCAGTTTATGCTGAAAAGCCTAGAAGCGCTGCGCAGCCGTTTCATCTTTGTTTGAAATCACCTTCAGTGCGAACCTCACAAAACTTCTGAGAATTCGTCACTCGAGGAGCCAGTAAATACATGACCGCGTGATGTGGTTTTCCCTTGTTGAGTGATGAGTGGCGTTATGTCCAGTCTCAGTGAGGTCTAATTGCCCTGCCGATCAGCGGCCAAATGTTCAGCCACTGGCCGGACGATCACCGGTTGGAAACTATGAGTTTCATGAGATGCGGACTGCCGAGAATTCCCAACAAGGATGAAACAGTTGCATGTTGTCTTTCAGCATAGATTCGCTTTACTGACAGAATGAAATCGCTACTGATGTTCTCACATTACTATGAAAATTTTAATATTATGTTGGAGTAAATGGGACCGGGAGGCACGTGCATACGTCTTTCTCCAGGCACCTAAATTTTCTGTCACTACATTAGGTGCGGAGTGTTGTGAACCTGTGACTTTACAAGAGCAAGCAGAATGGAATGAAATGAAACTGTCTGTACAAAAATTACTTCATTTATCCTTGATATGACACTACTCACAAAGTTAATGGAAAACTTTGGACAGCCTGCATTCGGTTTCTTTTTATAGGGCTCATCTGTGGCCCTATAAATCAAGGCCACCTTCGAACATCACATGCCTGTGAGGAATGTTATAAAGATTCCTGTAAACAGCATCTTAATTTGAAATTGACCATTTAACTCCAAGTGACCCCGATTTTATTTACATTTAACGATCCGTCTTTTCGTTTGCTAGCCTTCTGTTAACCGTTTTTCACATTTGACAGTTGGTTTGCTAATGTTTCATCACCAACCGGAAAAACATCATCATCTAAGGGTTCACTAGCTACTCACCATACTTTTGTTTTACACAATTTTTTTGTTCAATAGGATTGTGCAACAAGATGTTGGACAGCACGACAGTGGCGGAACACGAGGGTGAAGTTTTTTGCAAACAGTGCCATGGTAGGAAGTTTGGCCCCAAAGGATACGGCTTCGGTGGTGGTGCTGGAGCACTAAACATGGATAGCGGAGCCCATCTAGGAAATGTGGGCACCGAGATGAGGTAAGAGCAGTGGCGTTTCACTCCACTTTATGTCAAATCTTCATAATTTATGAAGACTGCGTAAAAGGGTAAGGCAATAGTTGGTTATGATATCTGCAAAAGGCAAAAAATGGCAACCAACAAATAAGAATGGGAATACCGTGGATGTGGGGTGTTAATGGACGGCCTGATGTCTGATGAAGGTTTCAATCTATAAGTGAAGCTCATCTGTGTTGAAAAGCTGAGAGACACTGTTGTTGTTTCCTCTTTATTGGAAATATTCATTAGTCCACATCTCATGAAACTCCAGGAAGTCTTGAACCGGTGAACTCCAGACTAGAAAATTTATCACCTCCCCTTCCAGCCACAAGCGGCTGATCAGCAGTGAAATTAGTTCAGACGGGATACAGAGCCACTCCTCCTTCGATCACAAAATCAACATCACGTGGACACACTTGTTGACTGGCTGCTCGAGGGACGATTCCTCAGATGGGAAATATTCCTTATCGGGTGATTTATTCTTTCTCTGATCTACTTATAGATTGCTAGTAACCCTAGAAAACTTAAGAGTTTTCAATCGTTATTTCGTCCTGTCAGCACGATCACCATTGAATTATTTCTCCCCGTCTCATATACCCCTATCCTGTCACAGCAACAAACCGACCACTGCAGGGACAGGTGGTGCTGTCATTCCACCGGAACAAGGTGGATGCCCACGCTGTGGAAAACGGGTGTATGATGCCGAAAAAGCAATTGGCTGTCCATCTGGGGTAAGCAGTCCGAGAACTCTGATTATTTTTTAAGTCACAGCAACTCTATATTTCTGTTACTTGATGGGCACCAAAAGAGACCCAGGTAAACTTCGTGGGGCGTAAAAAGAGCGTCATTCCCTAATTGAAAATTGAGGGTCCGTAATTCTCCGCTGATTTTCAGCTGAAAATTTCATTCCTATGTCTTCTATAACACATGAAAGTTGCTGAAGTGTTTTACTGCTGCTGGTTCAAACTGCCGCAGCACAGACAGAATACCCGTCGCGTCATTCAACAACTACCGCTCATCCCACAAATATTTCGTCTGAAAAAATAATGGGGTCTCTTTACATTGAGTGAATTGGAAACTCACAGCTGATCCCGTCGTTCAATTCTTCGATCATTCGTGGATTCCTAAGTGCAATTTTGCATTCACTAGTTTCTGTTGCAGTTCTGTCCTTCCACCAAGGTCGACTCACTTCTTTTCGGAAACTCTTCTGCGTTCTCCAGGCCCATAATTTTTATTAGCGGGTTGAAAAGTGGATTTGTTTGATGTGGCTTACGACGACTAAATGATCCAGAAAAAATCGTAAATATTGTTCAACATTATGATCCTACGGAATAAAGTGCACGCAATACCATTGCACTCACCCGTTAGTTTTAAATAGATCCGCCTCTTCTCAGTGGTCCCCCTCAAGTTTGGAGTGAAACAACCCAATCCAGTATTGTCGTACAGTACGTGGAAACTGTTGGGAGTAATGTCATCTGACGCACGTCGAGAATCAAACATGTTGGCCAGAACAGAGCAGTATTGTGAGCGAGCGAGTAGGGTGAGCTACAACTTTAATAGTCTATTTTGTGTAATTGAACGTGAGTGATATTCATCAGTGAAATATCCCCTCGAGTTGCATTGATCAACGGTTTAGTTTGATCGATTAAAGAACAGTATGTTGGCCGTCACTGCTGAAATCTGAGCAAGTTAAATTAATGACTCATAAAGGTATGAGAATGAATACAATACATAATGCAACCAAACGAGATAAACGGATAGACGGTATTTGATACGTTTTCGGCAATTCACTGGGATTCTGCTTGCCACGGAGGAAAGTAGCGTGAATGTGCATGAGAGAAGAGGTTACTGCCGAGGATTTTTTCTAACTACATTACTCGCACACTGAATTCAGGAAGCCCGTCAGATGTTATTATAGGCATCAAACGAGCACAGAATTGACTTTTGCAACCGGTAAAGACTGAAGTGAGCATAAAACTGAATTATTTGAAAGCCCAACTTGGCAGAAGCGATTTTGAGTCATGCGAAAAAGTTTCTTCCGAACGAGCAGCGTAGACTGGTGTTCTAGTGGCGTGACCACAAGAAAGAAAACTCCTTTCCGTGGGTGAAGCTACCGTAGTGGCCGAATGATTGTTCGAAAAGTGATTTTCGCAAGGAATAATGTTCTGTCTGGCAGTGGACGACAACTTTATAACAATTTTTTCTAATGACAATTAAACAAATCGTAGTTGGAATCCGACAAGGACGTCTGGGTAGTGGTGTTGAGATAAAAGTGATAAAAGTGGTCGTGCTTCTCAAGAGATGAATGAAGTAAAGGTTGAAATCACTACCGATAACGAATCAGATCAAGAGTTTCCGGAAGATTTAACGGAAATTTTGGTGAAATAGTGTATTTTGTTAATCAGTGAATGCTGTATAGTTTTGCGGACGAAAGGCGCTACTTATATGGTGGCGCCGACCTGATAAGCTCCACAAAGAAGACTGGTCGCGGGCTTTCCAAGGGTCCTTAGCAATCTTATGAATAATGTTCCGTCTAGATAACGTACCGCGATATCCGAAGTATGGCTGCACATTAGTTGAGAAATATCATAAATAGGAGTTTCAGCTGAAACACACTTGTCTTCAGTGCAAACCAATCTAGTTTGCAGATAAATGTACTTCGTGGGTGTTTTATGTCATTATGGACTAGTCAGTTTTGTACAGAAATATCCTGTTTGGTAAAGCGTTTTCGATTGAAAAAAAGACAAACAGTATGCGGCATCTGTACAAGTTGATTTAAACAGAATGTCCCCGCGCACAAGTATTTATCTCTGAAGTAGACCGAACGATGAGAAGGTCGAAACCTGGGACAATGCTCCTCGCACGCGGGGATTTNGTCATTATGGACTAGTCAGTTTTGTATAGAAATATCCTGTCTGGTAAAGCGTTTTCGATTGAAAAAAAGACAAACAGTATGCGGCATCTGTACAAGTTGATTTAAACAGAATGTCCCCGCGCACAAGTATTTATCTCTGAAGTAGACCGAACGATGAGAAGGTCGAAACCTGGGACAATGCTCCTCGCACGCGGGGATTTCGCACCAAAGGGAGTCACTGATTTCATGGTGAATTCAGTTGCGACATGAAGACCAAACGGTACACGGACAGCTAAACCACACCTAAACCTGAAACTTCAATGCAATGCGTGTGACGTATTGCATGGCGCTAAATTGAATTACTTGAACATGTTTCACGTAAATCAAAAGCAGTGAGGACGATCATGCGTAAGATTTATGAATAACGTTGGTATAAATTGGAGTTTCCCAATGAAAGCGTTCGTCAGCTCTCACGCACACGCCAGTCTATGGGTGTATTGTTTGGATAGAAGTTGCATCTTATGGTCTAGTTATAATTTTGTAGATATCCAAGTTGTCTTTACAATGATTGTCTTTTGTGGGAACAAGGGGAACAAACTGTGTTAAATAGCTTTGTTGCCCAATTTTATATGAATAAGCTGTACACCTAGCATTATCGGTCTCTCTAGAATTACAAAACCCACTTTTTTGGGCTACCATTAGCACGTGGTCTTCTTTGGAAGAGCCACCGCTTATAATTGGTGTCTGAAAAGGAGTAGGTTGTGTTGGTGAACACCGAAACAATTGAGCATAATTCACTTTAGGTTGTTTTGAAACCTAATCACGCGATTCTCTTACTTGTTCAAGCTGAATTTTCACAAAGCCTGCTTTCGTTGCAAAACGTGCGGTAAATCACTCGATTCAACCACATTGTGCACGCAGAAAGAAGAACAGGAAATCTACTGCAAAGGTAAGTGTCAAAACTCATCCATATTCGCCTTTCACTTGAGAATTATGGAAAGTCGCGTAGCTGTATTCATACACTGTCTAGGAAACGTCTTAGTGTTGAATCATCACAAATTGAACCGGCCGGCTGATTTGCTGAAATATTAAAAGATCGTGCACGTTTATTGGCTGTTGATCAGGTGGATGCTGACCGAATCGCCGAGCTTGGAAATTAACTTGCAAGTGTTTCATCACCAAACGAGGACAGATCATCAGTGCGCAGTTGTGCAAACCTATCCAAACGCGCTGATGATGCCTGCTCTTTTGGTGACAAAACATTTGCAAGTTTATCGTCATATTTGGCGAACAGACCAAGAGTCACCTGATCAACAAGCAAAAAGGTGGCTTACTAGCGAGTCTTGTCGACTTATAATAGAAATATATTCTATCCAAAGGGAATAGAAAAAGCCATTTAATTCAATTTACTAATCAAGGGTATAAGACTGATTGTAAGCTCCTGGCGGCTAAGGATATTACAGGGCGATTAGAGCAATCGGGCTATACTCAGTAGGCAGTAGGAGCAGAGGGCTGACGACAGTGGATCGCATAATGACAAATTGTTCTGTGAACAAATGGCTTGATAAACAACCCGACATTAAGTGGAACGTACAGTTAGCAACAGCGCAATCGGTAGCAGTAGAAAAGGAACAGTGAGCTAGCAGAGCTTTTTGGAAACAGTAATCGCATGCAGTAATCGTATACAAAGGTAAGGACACGGGCAGTCAGACTGTGTAAATACACAATGTACACAGATAACAGTACAAAGGACGATCGGTTCGTTCAGAATATGTTTATCGGTCAAAAGTGAGCAGGAAATATCTGTGAAACGAGTATCGGGTGGATCTGTCACGAAGTAAATATGCCTACAGCTGATGGCGTGAGGAAGTGGCACAAGTTGCTTGTCAAACCGAAATGCGTATTTGGGCCCGTTTAAAACAAAACGGCACCAAGCACCATCGGATAAGAAGCAATACAAAGTTAATACAAAATACCGTCTCCGGTGAAGCCAAGTTGGCGCAGTGGATGGTGCGCTCTTCTTCCACCGACGGGTCTGAGTTCGACCCCCGGATGAACCGCTTTTCCTTCGGAGCAGACACTCGAAAACAAAGGATTAACACAAAATTGCGAAAGAAGGCAGACAGGCGACAAAATCCCGACATTAGTAACTACAGGTATGCGAACTTTAGACGGGCAATAAACCGGGGAACAAGTGAAAAGGAAGCAAAACGGCGTTATGATAAGTAAGCGTCACAATACCCATGAGAATTCAAACAAATGGGAAAAATCAACAAAGACGCTCTTTTAGAACACCTTTTAATGAATCCAGAACAGAAACCAAACCACGACTGGTACTCGCTTGCATAATTTATCGTGATAGACGCGAGCTTTAATACGGATTACTGTCCTCTACAGGAAAAAGAATAAAGTTTGCATTAGAACCAGAGAGAAATATATCACTCCGATACTCAATTCGACTCTTATCAAACTGTCATGACTTGTGACTTGAATGTTTATGCTTCCTTGAAAGAAAATCAAATCGTTAACTACTACCATTGAATTTCGCGAATGCACCGTTTCGCATCAAGAATACGCACTCCCATAGATGATCGTTCATCAAAGCAACGGATGAACTCACTTAGAGAATGTAATACGTATTTGAAATTCGAAACCTCCCTCCACATATTTATGCTTGACGATAACCTGATTACGTGAACGAGTATACCCGGTTGCAGTGGCGCACAGAAATACTCAAAAAGAATCACTACTACGTTGTTTAAAAAGGCAAACAGTGTGTGTTTTCTGACGACTGTGGACAAAATTCACGTGATCTTCCTGAACGTTGTTCATTTGATGGGCTTTGCCGAGCAGAAGAGTGGTTCTGTCCTAGTGAGCATCAAATTATATTGTGGATTTAGAAGTTTGCTTCCAGTTAGGACGTGTGCTATACATGTTTTATCAAGAACCCTGAACTTTGAATAGGTGTAGAGTCAAACAAGATTTTGGGCAGAGGTATACTATCACGAAGCTGAACTGACCTTACACGAAAATATTCCCTAATTCCACCTAAAGCTGATTACGTTTTTAATCACCTCCCACAACTTTTCTTCTAGGATGCTATGGAAAACATTTCGGCCCGAAAGGTTTCGGATTCGGTCAGGGCGCTGGAGTGCTCAACATGGGCTAAATCGTTCATCCCACGGATATTTCTTCTTTTCTAATATCTTCGTAGCACACATAGTATGAAAAAATCAAATTGCTGGCAAAATACCACAAGAACAAATTCTTTTAATCTTCTGACAATGTTACTCACGTTTTCTGCTACTGCCATCCTTCAAAGATGCATCTTGTCCGAGAAAAGACCAGAAGGATGCCTGCTAATATTTTTTATATCTTGTATTTCGTTCATCAACAGACAGACACACTGACTCACGCATCTAGACACAACTTTCAGTTTGTTCGGCTATACCGATCTATCAAATAGTGGGCAGTGTGTAAATATATTTATCAGCTTTTAAACCCGTGGCAATTTTTTTTTCATTTTCAAGCCAAACTGACCTCTGCTTCTGATAAGTAATCACGATGAACAGCTAAATGAACGGATAAGGAGAACTGGAATTCGAGAACAAGCTTTTGCTTGTAATGAGCTGCGGAATATTTTTAGCAGGTCTTCAAAGATGAATTTCGAGGAATCGTCAAATACTTGGAACGGAATACTGTCACATCAAATGGATAATAGTATACCTGTGTAAAAGGGCTAATCGTCCTAAAGAAAACCTGTGGGATTTCACAAAAAAAAAATACTTCTAGTTGTTTCTCTTGTATACCACGTTTTCACCGTCCATCAGCCCGATTGGATCGTCTCTGTGGTATTGCGCGCGTTGACCGAGTTATACTAACGGTGCCTATGGAAAGACGTTAAGGCGTCGCCTTAAATTATGGCCACGTTTTTTTGAAGAAAAATCAAAAGTAGATACGAGATGGGGAATGAACTCCGTTCCTGCAACCTGGGCAAAATCCATCACCCAGTGAATCATCCTGCTCGTACTTTTAACCTGAAGACCAGCTTAGCGAGGGTTACAACACTTTGTAGGACTGTCGTTCCCACAGTGATAAACTGTATCTGTGATGTTGTTCTAAAAACTCCCATCAACGAGGGTAACTTCGGACAAGAATTCGTGCACAATTGTCCATCTGGGAAACAGTAAAAACGGAACATTATTCATTGGTCGCCATTCTTGAATGAAGCATATTTAGATAAGATTGTCATGCGTCATAGAATACTTATTAAGTCACCGAATAAGTGAAATGCGGGGAACGAATCTGCTTCGTATGTGTTACAGTACCTTTAAGTTGACAACTAACTGTGGACGGGGACATTGACCATTTCAGCAAGCCTAGCAAATGGTTTGCAAAAGTTTATTCATCCTTCTGGTGAACATCGTCATCGCCTCGTTGGATCAACCTATCCACCTTTCCTTTTGCATTTACATGTATTTGACACTTTTCATTACCGCAGTTACTTCATGTTTTGTGATATACATGCCAGTGTACACGGAAGCTGCTAACTTGAGGGCAAAATAGTTTGTGATGACTACGTTTTTGGAGGAAACGACTGAAAAAGGGATCAAACACTCGAAGTGCACGTTTTGCGATCAGTGCAAATTAGATCACCGGAATAATTACGCCAGAACAGGAACACGACCAGTCAAACTAGAGTGGTGTGACTATGAACAAATTAGATCAGTTGGCCGGCACAGCAGACCTACATCAAACACAACTCAAGTAAGCAGCTGGTGCTTGCAACTTGGTGGCGAACTTTGCGTGAACAGCAGCAGCATACGGCTACGCTTAAACCCATCACATGCCAGTCGTCGCCCACTTCTTGGACAACTCGCACCGTGGTGTGTCCACGTGAGGCGATGCAGAAATGTCAAGGCAATGGTACGCTAGCAGCCGGAGGAATGCGTACGTCACTTTCATCTCCATACCCACCTCGAATTTGTCGTGGGCATTTTGGCAAATGCTGTGGAATCACGTTCAAATGAAAACAGACCAGGAAGGGGATGTTTGGTTTGAGTGGCTAACATGAGATTCTGCCAGCGAACCTTGACATCAGCCCAGCTGTAGAATTTGCTGGCACAGTCCAACGGTTAGGGTTAGCGAAGCAAATGAAAATGGAAGAAAACCTCAAATGTGAATTCATTTGTAAGAAGGGAAAGAATCTGCGAATATGTGGTTTCCATAGAGCGCAGAGCAGTCAAGCAGTCGAACGATGACGGTGAAAGAGGGACAAATACAAGCAAGGACATTGTTAGGGCCAACAAGTTTCCACGAGGAACTTCGTGTTGACACACAGGAAAAAGAAATGGACCAATGAAGCAGCACGGTTTTTGAGGGCGCAGTGGCAAACACACGCATTAACAGATTTATACTCTCTTTGTTCCCAAATTTAGTCGCGTTTGGCGAAACATGCTTATTTGAGTAGCGTATTCCGTCGGGGAACTAGTTATTTTTGTTTGAGAATTGCTTCCAATGGTATTCGTTTTGTAAGAAAGTCCATAATTGGAGAACCAATCAACAGCTCGCACTCGAGCAACGAATAAATCAATATGGAAAACCTCTGGTGCAGAAGAAGTGAGGGTTCGAACTTACAACCTTTCGGATGGGTTGAATACTGTTGCCAGGCTAAGATTGACTGATCTGCAACATCCTGCCGAGACAGGGCGCCTATGAGTCGCATGCACAGGCCTCATCCAGGTCGAGAATAATACTACGGTTGTGGACAGACGGTAGGTGTAAAATGGTCTCATTGAACTAGAGTACACAGAATACAACGACCACGCAAGAGAGACCATTCCTATGGAGAGCCCAGATCAAATGCCACCAGGGGTACCGACCCATCAGACGGAGGTCACCCCTGGGAGAAATTGAAGAGCTAATTTCCCGGTGGACTGCTCTATTGTTCCACTCGTGCTGTACTTACTGCAGTGTGGAACCGAAATTACACAGAATGATTCATTGAGCAAAATATTCCGGGACCTACTTATACACTCATCTGCTTACCTATTTGGTCTTCACAGGAGAACCAATGCAGCACATTCAGTTGAGTAAGGACATCATAACCGAGATTCAGCTGGGTTCCAAGTAGATCTGAACACAAATAGATGTGTTCATTATGGCATGCGGAAAAGGAACATCTATGAAGAACGTATTGGTTTGTGGTCTAAACTTACGCTGACTGGATGCTTAAAGGAGCCTTTCGCAACAACGCCATCCAACAAAACGCGCGAAACAGAGGACATGTTTGGATTACGCTGTGAAGACATTTAGCATAGGATTAGTAGCAATGAATGTTGGTCAAAACCCCCAGGAGGCCAACCAATAGTCTATTTTTCGTTTGTTTCGTACGTAAAGTAACTCCTTCAGTCATCATCAAACATTTGATAGACTGCACTTTAAAGCACCTCTACAACTATCCTCTTTCCACTACAATTTCCATTTTCAGTAAGCGCGGTGAAACCCTTGTAGCATCCTTTTTTGAACAAGTTTCCACCTACCTGGTGACAAAAGACATCGGTGCGAGACGCACCAGTCTCCTGAGTGAAGACGAAGGTCATACATACACTTAAGTTTACGAGCAGGTGTCAAACCACAACACCATCTACAGCACCCATCGCTCTGGAACAAGCATTTTCCACCGGCCGTGACCTAGCTTAAATGGTTTCAACAATCATTTCGAAATAACGAGACTCCCTCAACTCAGTGATTGGTATGCTCCTCCATTCTGACGTTTCCAGCAGAATAGGCAGCAGAGTACACCGAGCGCACTTTAGGCACAAAACAACTGTATACACGCATACAGTTTATGTGCAAGCCATCGTCAAATGCCATGAAGCAGACACTGAAAGACGGTTGGTCGTCGAACCCGCAATAATGGTCAAACAGGGATCATGCTGTACGGACCACCAATCGCGTACCACCTAAGCTTAGTGGCCGCCAGAGCGCTTAGCTTGGTGTGGTTAGCCGATTTGAATTTCCGCGAGCGACCAGTTGTTCGGCGGATGACTCAAAACTCAAAGGTGCTAACTGCCAAGGTCCGCTCACATTGACCTGCAAAAAAATGGCAACAGTAAAATGCGCCAAAACATCTGGTCCGGTTGGTTTACCACAACTACGTACTCACCCAGGGTTCAAATCCAGTTTTTTCAAGTCTTCCACCCCATGCAGACTTCTTCGAGTCAATAACCGACGGTCATAACCGCAGTAAATGTACAGGATTGTGGTAGCACTTGGACCAGATTTCTGCTAGGAACTGAATTGAAATGGCGGGACAGCCTGCTTAGAAATTTTTTGGCAAACCTAACCCACGAAGATTCTCTTTCGCAACGGTTGCGGGGGAAATCTGTCCAGATGTGCTGTGCCAAAATTAACAGACCAGTGGTAGAAACAAGCAATTAACTCCAAAAACCATATAGACCTTCGTTTCGACGGACGCTGTGGATCTTCAAGGGACATAATCTTGATTCACAATTTCAATTCCCTTATTTAACAAAGAAAGGGTACTGAAACAATGTCACCAGGAGCATCACCAGGGCACGTACAAAAACCATCAACCTGCTTCGGAAACGAACTTCAGTGAAATGGCCGTGGGTATGAGGCAACTTAATGACCAGTCTCAGTTTACCGTTCCGGAAGATGGGACCTCCAATCTTTACTGTTTCAAACATTTGATTGCTGGTGTAACTGAGCATAGCAAAAGTAAGCTGGCTAAAGCTCGTGGTGCGCAAGCGAGTAATGGATAAACAAGGCGGATTAACCAAGGAATCAACAAAGGCTTATTAGATTTAGGTGGTTGGAACAGGTACTCTGCATATCTGAACAACATTTACTAGGAAAAGCCCTATATCCCATTACAAACTCATGTTGGCGGGGGATTTGCGAACCAGACATGACGTAGCGAGTCAAAATGAATGCGGCCACTGAATGCTGTGAAACCTTCGCGCCGGAATCTACGATTATAATCGAACGTCGTTGTGAATCAAGATGGGGAATTAAACTGATCCAGTTGTCAAGTGTGCTATCACTTTCTAACAGAACCGTCCAGATAGGGCTTATGGCACTGAATGCTGGTCCCGTGTTGTGCGAGACTCACAAGGATCTTGGGATATTCAACACAATTCTCAGATACGTTCATTTCAATTCCGTCCGGTGCGTCCAACACCATGAGCTTTACCACTTTAGTCGCGGGAGGTGGAATCAATAAGCAGAAGAGCGCTTTGCCACGCATCCAACGAATTTGTCATTTCCACGATTGGCTATGAGAAGTTCAGTGTTTTATTCAGATTGCATGTCAACGTCAAATGCCAATGTTCTCTGTAACCAGGATGTGTTCCACAAAGGACGATCAAAAGGAACATTAATTTAAAATCTGACAGCTGGAGATATCACGTGATCTAACAGTAGAACGCGACTCATGACAGAACATGTGCCTGGTTGCACAAGCTCGCCAACTGAACATGAAACTCCAACACATCTACTGCAAAATAAGAGAACATTACAAGTGTGTGGAAATACCATCTTTTGTACAAACAGGCCGATAAAAGACATGCGTTTTGGTGAAAAATATCTAACAGTCCAACAGTCGGTCAACGAGCACGTGTATTAAGAGCAAAAGAGACTTTGTTTGGGGTGGATCGGAGCAACAAAGGTAATGCGGATCCTGGGGGTTTTGTGAGTGCTGGGTTCTCTTCCATAATCTTTACGGTGGCCGACATTTCTGTCAGTAAATGCTGAAGCTCCCGAATCCCCGACTGGCGCTGGAACAAATACTGAAATGACGAAAAAGGGAAAAGACGAAATCAGAATTTATTTGAAAGTCACCTACAAAAAAGAGCCACATTTCATAGAAGAAAAGAGCAGGAAAATTCATATCAATGATCATTTTCGGTTAGCACAATGGAGTAATAAGTAACTTGGGTTATAACCAGAATTAAAGTGCTCTAGTTAAGTGAAGAACCACCGCTAGGATTGATAATTGCGACGCTGAAATGTCAGCATGTCTCCACACAAATTGGCAAGAGCTCAGGAAGAAGAATTGAAATCAAACAGCAGGGAAAAGGTTTAGCATGAATATCCACTCAATCCTAAACTAATTCTACTAAGTGTAGTCTACCAGGGTAAAAAAATAGGGATAACACTTCAGGCGAAGTTCACTGAGAAGACAATTTGTTGGACGAGAAGACAAAAGAAAGTCTCACCAGGGCGAACCAGTTCTTCCAATGATGACATCTACTGTGGAACCGGACACACACACTTCCCGAAGTGCCGTTAAACAACTCTGTATGCACTGAACTACACAGTTCTTGAATGGAAGCAGCGCAGAATCACGACCTGTGAAGAGCTAGTCACCGATCACTACTCGTGCACCGTAGGGTACATTTCTGGGGTCAACTAGCTGACACATCAACTACTCACATGTAGGCACGATTGATCGACTTTACTGACGGAACCTAAACCCAAGAGACCATTTGGTTATAATATTATGAAGATTCTGTTGTGGTGAATGTCCTGTGATAAGCAGATTTCTCCTGCGATTCGGCTTAAATGGATGGAAAGTATAAAAGGTAGCCTTCTTCCCGAGAAGCGAAGTTAACAAGGGAAAAAAAGAGTTTTCGCCTCTCCTGGGAATGACTTCTCGTAGGTTGTGACCCGAGGGGGACCTCGCGTTGTAGAGAAACACACCCCCTCTTCGGAGAGGCTTCTTGGGTGATGACTATAGTTAGGTACACTACCGGAAACAGAGATCATCATAAAGTGTTTATCCTACAGTAGGGGAGAAAACCTTTGTTACATAGTAAAAGCTCGCGTCTGTCTGCTATTGACCAGTATGACTCAAGAGAAAATGTACGAAATTCCGATCAGTGCTCTAGGCTGACTGCGATCTTACCGAGACCATTCAGCCAAAACCAAGTTTCTTCCTAAAATCCATATCAACTGCTGTGTAGGCTCCATAAGTAACCTTATACGAAAAGCCGCATTGCAGGTTGGGTGGAACAGAACAAAAAGGGTAGACCCGGAAACAAAAAAGCGAACAAAAACGCACCAAGAAGTGAGAATAAACGTCGCAGCAGTTGCTACGTCTGCTCGATCACATCATGTTGTCGAATACATAGATTTGACTCCACTGTCCAACTTCTAGGATGGAATGATATAGTTCAACGAACACCTGTTGCTGCTTAAATCTTAGTACTCTGTCTTCACGACATTGGTTGTGCGTACTGAGCAATATCCTAATCTAAGTACTGTTGTAACTCCGCAGCGAAGGCCTTCTTCCTTCCAGTGGTAACAGTAGACCCATCGCAGCAAAGAAGTCGATCGATCGACGATTGGGCTAGCAAAGCCCAAGCCCAAGCAACAACCAGGTAGGCGAAAACTAATCGAAACAATTGGAAACGGCCAACCTAGTGCAATTCTACTAAGGTATTGATAGTCATACTAGGTGCAGTAAGACTATCGACGGCGCTTTTGATCGTTCTGAACATATTCCTCGTATATATAATAACTAATAATAATTGTTTGTTCTTTCAATGCCTAGCTAACATACCACCCGAAAGAACCACAAGAGCTGACATATTACCAGGATGTCCAAAAATGGACAACAGTCGGGGTGCCGAGGTAGAGTTTCGACCACGGACCTTTCATTATTAAGTTCTCACCTTAACCAGTGTAGAAACTCGAGCTTAGTTATGAACCTTATAAGATGGATTTCCACTACCCCGGCAGCAGTTTATGTGGTGAGTTTGTTCTCACGCCACCAGTGATACACGCTAGAAAAATATACAAAGATCTCGCACAAAATTCTGATTTATCGGAAAATCACCCAGTTACAACCCCGTGTAGAACGACCATTTTAGAACGGTCCCCCTAGTGGTAAATTTAGACGGTTACTAACGTGATTAAGCACGGTTTTGTGAAACAAGGGTGATCTAACAAAAACCAAAAGACAGTGGTAACCAAATCCAGACCGGAGAATCTCAACAGGTTCAGAGCCTTACCTCTTTTAGCTCCGCCCATGAATCGGCATCCAAATTCCAGTTGAGTTGTTCGTCGATCCCACAAGATGACAATGCTGCAGCACGGTCTCCACTGGCAAAATTCTCCTTATCCGAATTGCCTGTGTTCTCGGAATTCGTCTTCACAGAAGCCGAAACTTCTTGGAAGCGAACACGAAGGCCACGCGGCGAAGTAAGCTCCGTCCAAATACGTTCCAGACCGCACCGAAGAGTTTCCTCATCAGCACTGATTGCAAATCCAGCACGACGGTGAACTTCTTGGCGTCGAAGCACCTGGAGTATGTGTGGCAAGATAAAAACACCACACAGTAACCAAACAGTTGTGCAAAAGTACCGTTTGTGATCAATGGATGAAGTGCCTTGCTGGTGATTGTGGAATGGTCTTAAGCATGAAGAAAACACTGGCCATAAGAACCATGTATTCTTACAACGTCGGGCGAATTCTCAAGGATATAGTCACCTAATTCAGATACACCGGAATGAGCCAATATTGCGCCAAATATGTTAAGCCGAGCGGATAGTATTCGTTCTTGTGATTAGATTATAGGACAGACAACGAATGTGGTGGATCGAAAGGCACGGCGCTGACAGAGAAATACGATAACAGTTCGAATGTGGCTCTCGAAAATATCCAATCAGTCTGATTTTTTTTAAACAAAGACACACGAACCGACATACAATCAAAATGAACCGGTTTTCCGCCCTGATACAAAAGACGACAGGAGGGGATAACAGTCAGAAGCCATACACCAACGAACATTACGAAAAGAAAATATTCACTATGAAAATTGTTCTGCCAAATTGTGAAATGGAAGAACCCGGACCAAAAAGGAAGGGTCCAAATAATTGATTGGTGAAACCGACGGCGCCCTTCGTGGAACAAATGGGTTGTCCACCCAGTAACTACAATTACACAACCTACGAAACGATCCCATTGTGCGGTTCAGTGGAATGTATCAGCTATCAATCAGGAATAACTCAACTCCAATTGAGATGCCACCTTCCAGACACCAAAAGTATGCTAGTCAACCGGAGCGGTCTGCTTAAGTTGGACGCTGCGAGCAGATCGGTAATGTTGCTCAGGAAAACAAACTTTGCGACAACAAAGATGGAGTGAATAAAACGAAAGTTAGGAATATACTTGGAATAGCTTTCGCAACTTTCCGATGCATGTCTGTTATGCAAACTGAGAGAACTGTGAGATTTTGCCAGATTGCCTAGGCCCAAACAGGAACAGTGGAAAATCCCGGTTCAAAACGCGGACCTTTCCGTCGGTAGCTCACAGCTTAGCCTTTGACAAATCTTGATGTACTTTGTGACGCCTTAAAGAGGATGTTTATGCACTCGACTGTTAATAGAGTGAAGTGGTAAGCCAATATGCAAGAACTGAGTTAAGAGGAAAAAGGTCAACTGCGAACTCACCTTGAGCACACGATGACTGATTTCGATCTGCTTTCGTTTCAGTTGAGCAATTTTCTGGTGGAGAGTAAGCTGCCCTGTTTTCAGCTCTTCAACCAGGTCACCAATTTGCTGCATTGTACCAAATAAAAAAATAGGTGTACTATAATGGTACGCGACGAAAAAACTGGCAAAGCAATTCAAAAGTGAAATATAAACTGATTTTTCATCCTCTGTGGGTCTGTTGCACAAAGTCCATAAGACTGAGGGAATGGGACGGAAAGGGTACTGGTGAACGAAAGAGGACAGATTGTAAGGCCAACTGATGGGCAGCTCAGCGGTAGTCCTTGACTAAAGCCACAGCATACGTCTGAGTAAGTTAGATAGTTGACTACTCACTAAACAAAAGCCTCTTCGTCACCGTAGCCCAAAGTAAGTCAATATACAAAATGTTCCGATCACTAACTATAGTGATACCGTGTGGTGACAAAAGCAGTCACTAAAAACCATTTTCCATTAGGATTTCGTCCGGTAAGTCGTTCTTCCGTAGAACCTTTTCGGCGCCTAACTGCCATGCCACCAGAAGGGAGCACGGGGGCCGGAATACTGCCAGGTTTCCCAAGTCTAGACAGAAAAGGTCGAGAGGTAGAAGTCGGATTCGAACCACGGACCTTCCGATCCGTAAATTCACATTCTAACCACTGATTCATCTCGCCCGGTAAGTGAGGTCTAGCTATACTGAAAAGCCGAGGAGCACTGTACAGCTGTTTGATCCTTATTGGATATCATCGGTAGTGCGCATTCCACAAAAGTCCACGGTGTGTTGGGCTACAGATAACTCCACATAAGGATGCAAAGCTGCGGAATACTTCCCGTTTTTCAGCATAGTTTGACTCAACTTACAGGATGGAATCTCCTTCGAAAATCACCTAAAATCTTCACACTATCAACGATAAAAACTACGCTCTTTCAAACGAAAAATACGCTCGTACCACAGCCTGGGAAAGGATGGTGAGAATTAAGTGAAGTTAAAGTACACATTGAGCACCCTGTTCTGAATAAAATGGAAAAAAACGAAAACAGTACTGAATAAACAGACTAGCTCACCTTCAATACGCTACTCTGCTGTCGACTGAATGCAATTTGATCTAGTTTACGGCGACGCAAATCAGTAAACCCAATTAGGGGGACTGGAATGGTGCGATCCGGGAATGGATTGTCGATGCACGCCTAGCAATGAAAGAAGGAAAATCAACGACGAAAGATTTCACACAGTGGACCCACTTTCGAAGAGCACAGTGGAGTAAAATTAGCAAAGAGCAGTCTTGGTTGGGGACAAGGAACGGCAACAGTTTGAACACGGATGATAAACAAATCATTATATCCTACGCCATGTCAATCCACATGTTGGCTGCAATCCAGCAAGACTAAGTTAACACTTCTAACCAACTAATCGGTGGCCAGAACCTCGGGGATGAGAGAAGGTTGGATGTATGCTGAGTATCTTGGAGAAACGCCGAATTATTCAGCCTCCACGTTCTAAGTGATCCGCAAGAAGGGCGAGAGCTAATCTACTGTTACAACCAACTGAGAGGGTAGGGATGACCTGGACCATGGATGTAGCTCGAGCCAATCGGACATCATGGTAAAAGATGTCGGAAATCATACAGCAAGTTTATTAACTGAGGGATGTTTTTCTACTGACGACCAAGCATTCGAGGTCCCAAAGCTACTTACCGAAAAAATGCCAGCTCACTTTTTGTATCTTATGACGAATGGTAGCGATCTTGCCTGATTCGCAAGCGCAGTCTAATGAACAGGAAGTCAGACATAACGGCAAATAAAGGATACAGTATTTTGGCTAGTCAACACAGAGTTGGCAATTTGTGCCCAAGTTTAACTAAACTTTGAGTTATCTGGTATGATGACATCATACGTCATGCAATTCTCGTTAACATAATCGAATCGTTCAGCTGTAACACTCTTCTGCTGCCTAGCTGCCATGCCACCCCGAAGGAAGCACGAGGGTTGGGATATTGCTTGCTTGCTCAAGCTTAGACAGAGGAAGTCGAGAGGCAGAAGTCGGGTTCGAGCCAGGACTTTACGGTCAGTAAGTTCGCGCTCTAGCTACTCAGCCATCTCTTTCTAACTACTTCGTGTAAGTACACATGTCACTACTAACCGACAAGTGATTTATCACAATATTGCTACTGAGGTATGCTATTGGTAGTGGGCCGCAGACACACCGAACATCACATAATATATTCACATAGAGATGACCCAAGTGGTTAGAGCGCGAATTTACTGACCGGGAGGTCCGTGGTTCGAACCCGACCTCTGCCTCTCGATTTCCCCTGCCTAGGCCTGGGCGGTAGTATCCCAGCCCTCGTGCTTCCCTCGGGTGACATGGCAGCTAGGCACCGGAAGGGTGTTACAGCTGAGCGATTATTATTAGTATTATTATTATTATTAATCGTCTTTCAGGTTAAACGAGTTTCGGAGTAAACGATTGGAGTGTTATCACACACAAAATCAGTCAGGCATGAAACAGATAGTGCGTCCATGGAGTCTCCGCGGTGGGTGGTGACATATTTCCCGTTATATTTGCAATGCATAATCGAGAGAAGGGTCTGTAGGCAACCAGAAACAGTTCAACCAGTTTAGTGGATGTTCATGCAAGAAGTACCAGGCCAGTGGCAGTCCTGAAGCACACTTTGAACTATGCAGTTTGTAGAAGGGTAGAAGTTTCTATCAACCTTATGTTCTACATGAACACAAACGGTGTAGAAACTACACCTCTATTAGCGAGAAACTCAGCTGAATCTATCGTTTATGATATTCTCCACCTGAGTGTGCTGCACGAAGGCCACCTCATGTTTCACTCTGTACGACATATATATATA